GGTTCAGATGTGTAACAGGTAAACTTACTAGCTAAAGTTCTCATTTACCCTAGTTTGTTTTGCCCTTTTCTTTTGTACATAGGAATTCTTTAATTTGTATGTAATAGAATATCTGTTAGGTCAAAAAGTAAAATTAAGTTTTTAGATTTTATTTTATGAGATTCATCTTGCCAGATGATCTAAATGATGAGTTTTGTTGGAAATTATTTTTTAAAGTGAAATTTTATCTCATTTTGTGTATTGGTAATCCGTCAGATGATTAGCAACTACTTTTACTCTATGGCATTTGTATCAGAATTCATCAGTTAATTTTTTTTATTCTTAGTGCGAGAAAAGAGGAAGAGCAACCATTTAAACCATGTAAGTAAACAGTTGAAAAGTTAAGAAATTAAATAATTGAATTAAAAGTACGTCTGTCATGATTCAGTAAAAATATGTTGGGGACCCAATACTGTTAGTATGGGCCTCTTTTTGTGGATTTTCTAAATCATTTTTATTTTCCTAAGAATCAAATTTATGCAGGAAAGTCTTTGACTTAATATGCTCTTTTTGTATGGGTTTCTAACATTTAAGTTAAATTTCGATAATTTGGTTGTGGTATAACTGTCTGCCTTAAATATTTTTCCTTAATTTTTTGATCTTTTTAAAATCAAGTAACAAAATTACTTGAGCACTCAATTTTTAGCACTGTTATGTTGACTTCCTGTCATAGCAGGTGAAAGCTTAGTTTCCCCACTCCACTGTTACCTTATTTTCTTCCTTCTATTTTTCCCACATGTCACATTTTTAATTACATCAGTACTTGATGTTTACATTGTTATGATTATGCAGATATTATTCACTGCTGAGTCATATAGTATTCTCACTGTATTCCTCCTTTTGCATCCTTTGTTTCTCTTAAATATTTCTGAAATCTGAGCATGTCTGCACTTCTCTTTCCTAGCCTCCATTAGCTCACACAGCTAAATGCAATAAGTAACCCTTGACTGGTCTCTTTGCTTTCATGTACTTTATTTTTTTATGGAATTAATTTCCGGACTATATTCATTCGACTGTTTTCTAACAGCTATTTTTCCCCCAAATGTTGTAGCATTTGCCACATGCATATCAAAAATATTTTCCATCTACCAAAACGTATCTGTTCTATTTTCTCTTGGTGACAACTTTCCTCAGCCTTTTGTCATCCTCCTCAAATACAGATGGGCTTTTCCTAAGCCTGCTCTGTGCCTGTTTTCCTGCGGTATCTCTCTGAAGTCATTTGGGATCTCACATAACTGTCATCTTGTGTTGGGTTCCCTAAGTCCTAGATTCTGTGTTTCCCTCTATCTTGTTATCCTTCCTAGTTATACTGGAGCCCATTTTCCTGGGAAAGGGCCCGTAGACCGGCATATTTAGAGATCTAGCCTGTCTGAAAACCTCTCCTATTTTTTTTTCCTCTTTTTTGAGACAGGGTCTCTCTCTGTTGCCCAAGCTGGAGTGCAGTGGTGTGATCTCAGCTCATTGCATCCTTAACCTACTGGGCTCAAGTGATCCTCCCATCTCAGCTTTCCAAGTAACTGGGACTACAGGCATGTGCCACTATGCCCAGTTTATATTTTTCCATAGAGATGGGGTTTCGCCATGTTGCTCAGGCTGGTCTCGAACTCCTGGGCTCAAGCCATCCACCCTCATCGGCCTTTCAAAGTGTTGGGATTATAGGCATGAGACACTGCACCTGCCAAAGCTTCCTATTTCTAAAGAGTATAAAATGCTAGGTTGAAACTAAATTTCATAGTTCTGAAGACATTTCTCTATTGTGTTCTCCTTATAGTATTCTTGAATCTCTTGCCATTGTGTGATACAGTACATGTAACCAGCTTTTACATGTCTCTGGAAGGTTTTTAGATCCTTAAGATCCTGAAATTTCATACTATGGATTGCTATGGACCTTTTCTTTTTCTTGAGACAGAGTCTCGCTCTGCCACCAGGCTAAAGTGCAGTGGCTCACTGCAACCTCTGCCTCCTGGGTTCAAGCAGTTTTCCTGCCTCAGACTCCCAAGTAGTTGGGACTACAGACACCCGCCACCATGCCCGGCTAATTTTTTTTTATATTTTTAGTGGAGATGGGGTTTCACCATGTTGGTCAGGATGATCTTGATCTGACCTTGTGATCTGCCCGCCTCTGCCTCCCAAAGGGCTGGAATCACAGCCGTGAGCCACCATGCCTGGCTTGATCTTTTCTTTTTACTGGGACCAATAAGTCCATAGACTATTCCTTCTAGAGAATTTTCTTGTTTCTTTGTTCCTTTTTTTCCTGATATTCTTACTATTCAGATGCTGAGCTTCTTAGACCAGTGTTTCTGCATTGATCTTTAATTCTCTCCCCCACACTTTCCCTTTTTCTGGTTAGTCTTTTGTTCTAATTCTTGGGCATTCTTTTACTTTACGCTCTAACCCTTCTATTGAATTTTTTATCTTTTTGAGGGTGTTTTAAGAATTTTTTGAAGTTTTCATTTGCTCCTGAATTTTTACCACTCCCATGTTTTTCCTTTTCCTGTCGTTTTGCTCTCTCTTGTTGGAGGCTTCCCTCAAATGTGTGATGGTCCCTGGCTTTCTCCAACTGGAAGCATGACTTTTGTTAACTGTTGGTTCACTGTTGGTTCTTACTGCAAGGATTTGGAGGCCAAGCCAGCCTTTAACTTAGGAGACCTCAGTCTGTTATCTGGTGGGTCTTTTCTCATTTTCTTCTTTCTTTTCCCTTTTTCCTCTCCTCCTTCCTCTTTTCTTCTTTCCCCTGTCCTTCCTTTCCTTTGCTTTTCTTTCTGACTCTCATTCTGTCACCCAGACTAGAGTGCAGTGGCGTGATCTCAGCGCCCTCTGCCATGATGCAACCTCTTCCACCCAGGTTCAGGCAATTCTTGTGCCTTAGCCTCCGGAGTAGCTCAGATTACAGGTGTGTGCCACCATGCCTGGTGTACTTTTTTTTTTTTTTTTTTAGTAGAGACAAGGTTTTGCTTTGTTAGCCAAACTAGTCTTGAACTTCTGGCCTCAAGTTCGCCCACCTTGGCTTCCCAAAGTGCTGGATTAAAGGTATGAGCCACTGTGCCCGGCTGGGTGTGTGTTTTCTGAAACTGTTCAGTTTTTTCAGAGAACAATCTCCCAATTTTCTACCTGGGGAATACAAGCATGGCTGCTCACTTTTCAGAAGCGGAGTTGGAAAAGAGAGGTGGAGTTTCCCTTCTCGGTGTATAGTTTTTTTTCCCCATTTCCCAGATTTCAGTCCTAGTATCTCTAAGCCCAGAACCTTTTATATTCATTATAAGATGAGAGGACAGGTGGACCTTGGACTCTAACTACATATTTTCAGCTGATCTTGCTGGTTTTTATGTTTCACTCTATCTTCCAAGGTACCATATGCCTCTGAGTTTGGAGCCTGACTTGGGTTCTGCAGGACAGACTAATTTGATTGTTCCTGTTCCAGTCATTCTCTGTAGGCACTAAAGTTGTGCTTTCATATCAGTTACTACTCCTTTGTCTTTTTCATCTTTCAAGATTTATTAAAAATCACTGCTGTGGCCAAGTGCGGTGGCTTATGCCTGTAATCCCAACACTTTGGGGGACTGAGGCAGACAGTCACTTGAGGCCAGGAGTTCAAGACCAGCCTGGCCAACATGGTGAAACTCTTGTCTCTTACAAAAAATGTAAAAATTAGCCAGATGTGGTGGCATGTGCCTGTAATTCCAGCTACTTGGGAGGTTGAGGCAGGAGAATTGCTTGAATCTGGGAGGCAGAGGCTGCAGTGAGCCAAGATTGCGCCACCGCACTCCAGCCTGGGCAACAGAGAACACTGTCTCAAAAATAAATAAATAATAAAGTAAAAATTAAAAAAATTATCTGCTGTCAATCCTGTTGCCAGATCCTATGTATAACCTTTATTTTATGTCTTTAATTCTAACGAAATTTCAGGAGAGCAAGGAAATAAATTTATGGTCAGTCTTCCATGTTTAACCCAAATTTAGAACCTTTGTTTAAAGTGTAAATCTAAGTTTAAATTCAACATAATAATACTAATCCAGACACTTTTTAGTATACCTATAAGCATATACTCTTCTACTAAGGCTTTAGGAATTGTATTCAAACTCTGTACCCTGCTATATTGTCCCATTACTGTTTTCATTAATGCACAGTGTCAGAAATTTTTAGGTTAATTAAAATTCATTAATTATTAAACAAATCTAACACTTGTAAAAAGGGAGAGAAAAAAATGAATTTCCATTTTCTTTTAACGGATTAAAATAAGGCACAATGGGAAAAGTCAGTGGGTAGGTATGGGAGTTCACCAGGTACTTTACCTTTGGTAAGGATTGAATTGTGACATAGTAGATTACTAGGTATGATTATTTTCTATCTTTCCTATTCTTCCTTAAGTCTACTTGTTCCTCTTTCCCTTTCTTGTTAAAGATTGTCATTTGTGCTGACCAAATGAAGATCAATGATACATTCTTTGTCCCTATTTTGTGACTACCTGAAATAACATCTGTGAACTTTCAGTACTGTTTTGCTGTTTGGATTTTTTTAAGTATTTATATTTTCTATTATTATGTTTGTCAGTAGAGTTTGTTGAGGTTGTAAAGCAGCATTGGTAAGGGTTTAGCCATAAGGGATAATTGTTGAGTTTTCCAGCAAGATGATGGGGCAATTATCTGTTGACAGCTATAATTGCTTTGCTCAGAAGCTTAATTCTGCCACCCTCTATAGTCTCAAGAGATATTGGGATGCTCTTGATAACAAAACATTTGAAAGTTGGTGTGTCTCATGCTATATATTGGTTAGCAGAGAGTTTTTGCATTCATTTTTTCCAGTCATTTTGAGACTTGGGAATTGCCTGGTGGAGAAATAAAAGACAGCAGAAATGGCATTTTCTGGAGAGTAACATTTCCCCATCAGCCCAGGCATACTCTAAACTTCTGCTTAAAGAGAGTAACTCCTTTATTTAAAGTGTATTTAAAGGAGTTACTCTCTCTTGAAGCAGGAGTTTAGAGTATGCCTGGGCTGATGCAGAAATGTTCAGTATTTATTTGGCTGGATCCAGCCAGTAAGCCATAAGTTGCTGATTGACTATGAGCTCCCATAGGATTGAACGACTACATTTAATTCAAAATTTCAAATGGTTTAGCACCAATATTTGCAAATAAAAGTCAATATGCATCTATGATAGAAACTTTTAAATAGAGGGAAATGTTACCCAAAGCTCTATGAACTAGGATGGGCTCATTGGCTCATGCCTGTAATACTAGCACTTTGGGAGGCTTGAGCCCAGGAGTTTGAGACTAGCCCGGGCAACATAGGGAGACCTAGTACCTACAGAAAAATTTAGAAAGAAGCCAGGTGTGATGGCTCATGCCTGTAGTCCCAGATACTTGGGAGGCTGAAGTGGGAGGATCGATTGAGCCCAAGAATTCAAGGCTGCCATGAGAATCGACTTATGGTATGGTGTAGTATATGCCATATTGCCCTCAAATAGTAGGGACCTTAAAAGATACCATCTTCCACTTTGTTATTATTACTTGGAGATGGAGTCTCACTCTGTTACCCAAGTTGAAATGTAGTGGCACAATTCTGGTTCACTACAACCTCCACTTCCTGGGTTCAAGCGATTCTCCTGCCTCAGCCTCCTGAGTAGCTGGGATTACAGGCACCCACCACGATGTTTGGCTGATTTTTGTATTTTTAGTAGAGATGGGGTTTCTCCATGTTGGCCAGGCTGGTCTTGAACTCCTGACCTCAGGTGATCCACCCGCTTTGGCCTCCCAAAGTGCTGGAATTAAAGGTGTGAGCCACCGTGCCCAGTCCCCCCTTCCACTTTGAAAGTATTTGAGTGGATTTTCCTTTTTCATACTGTATTTTTTTGAGACAATAAAAGTATATGCATTAACACACATACCCAGTTAATGTAAACTATGTACATTAAGTAGCTTAAGAAACATGAGTTTAGATATAGTTGAAACATTTCTAGCTTGGAGGAGAATTTGATCTTTCAAATAGTAATACTTTCCAAAAATAGAACATCTGGGACTTTTTGTTAGTAAGAATTAAGTGACTACAGTAAAAACGTTTGAAACAAAATGGTGTTACACTGTATGGATATTTCTGATTATTGACTATTGGCAACTTTTTAATGTATACATTTTTAAAAGCAACAACTAGATCTTCTCCTGCCCTGTCTTTCATGTATATGTGGGGGATACTGATGGGAGATCATGACAACATGGTAAAAACTATCATATTAATAGGAAGAAGGAAGGCTTATCTGAATTCGTTGCTTTTTTTTTAAAGTGTTAAAATTTTTAGTATTCTGTGGTTTTTAAAAAAACGCTACTGTTACTTTCAACTCTTCTGTGATTGGGATTTGGTTACTGACCTTATTTTTAAGGAAGAGAATTGTCTTAACATAGTTCAGGCTGTTTCAGTATTTGACTTATTGTACTCTTCCCAAATAAATGGATACTTCTAAAGTGTTTTAAAGATGGTTTATTTTCTAGAGGGCCCAAAAAGTTCATCGTTACCTCTCTGATACAACTGCAGATAAATTCTAATTTGTGTCTGTAGTAGTGTTTACTTTCCAAATTCTAACTGATTTAAATAATTTGTCAAACACTTGTTGAATTCCGTAATTTGTCCCCATTCTGTGCTAAGCAGCCAGAAGTATGAGGAGAAATGAGTCCTCCCTTCCCTGGAGAAGCTTACTTTCTTAGGAGGGGATACTCCACAAGCAATTGGTATCCTGTAACAAGTGGTGAATTAGATGGATGAGTGTACCAAAAGGGAAATGTTGTGTGGTATGACTGGTGGCAAAGGGATCCCAGAAGGTAGATGGGGTTAGGCTTGTTGGGATATGAAGGAAGAACAAGGTATTCCAGGCAGAGCAGCATGAGTGAGGCAGGAAAGTGCCATGATGCCTGTCAAATAACTTACAGGATAAAATTAATAACATTTTGAAATGAATGGAGAGTGTTCTCTGAGGTTCTCATTTGAATAATGTAATGGCAGTCATTCTCATTTGAATAATATGGCAGTCATTTAAATATTAAATGAAAGTTAAATTCCTAAATTTGTTCTTATCATCTGTTATTTGGAATATTAAAGTGATACTTTTTCTCCTCCACATTAAAAAACAGGCCTTCTCACTTGTGGGTGATGGAGCAGCCCTGGCAGACAGTCTCTGACTGTGAACCACTTGTTTCTCACACTGTCTCCTGAACGAATATATTTAGTAATAGTAACTTAGTAATTGTAGTGTTAGACTTTCATTTACTGCAGTAAAATGTTCTTCTGCAAATATGATTTGCAGGCATTACATTTTACTGTAGTAAATGAATAATAGAAATAGAAGAATCTCAGCTGCTTTTCGTTGCTTAAGAAAAAACACTGTATTCTTATTGTAAACTTTTCCCCTTAATTTATACAGGGAATTTGTAACAGATGCTTGCCAGATTTGATTATAGGTGCCACAAGAGCAGCATTTTATAACCCATTCCTCAAACATCTTCTGTGGGAGAGCCTCCACTGGGTTTCCCATAGAGCTGCACATGATACCACACTCAGGCAGTTCATGGAGTGTAAGAAATATCTTAATGCTTTATCATTTGCCATTTTAACCAAGGAAAAAAACCACACTTTTATAGGTTTAACTTACTGTGACATTTTCTTCTATTTCCCTTCCCCTTCAGGTATCTCCAGGGCAGCTTACTAAAAAGTATAGCTCATGCTCAACAATATTTCTAGATGACAGCACAGTCAGCCAGCCTAATCTTAGAACCACAGTAAAATGGTGAGTACAACTAGGCTGCCAAGGGCTGAGTGACAGACCCCCTTATGCTAAAAGCATCCCAGCCATCCTCGGTAATTTCAGCCATTTGATTGTCCTTTTCAGCAATCAGTTTAAGAAATTGGTGTCAATTATATATTGATTTCAAGGACCTAAATATGAATTTTCATTTTCTGTTTCAATCTTAGGTTGCATGGTGGAAGGAGGGAAAGCCAGTTAGTGAGTAAATAGTCCCAGAAAAAGTGTAGCTATTTATTTAATGCATTTATGTTAAGATAGTGTTGAACATAATAGGAAGGAGAGGTGCTTTTTATTGGATGTTTCTGGAAAAAACATTAGTTTGTTTTGAGTTCCAGGCCTAAAGCAATGTGTACCATTTTGGAAACTACTCTTGGAAGAAGGAACAGCTTGTCTTTGACTGGCATCATAGTGTATATGCATTTAAATTTTCCCCATTGTGCACGAGCACCTCTGGGGGACAATCTGAGGTGCACCTTCAGAATGCCCTAAAATGAACCTTTCAAGTTTATTTAAAAACTAACTCCAACTCCATTGGGGTTGTCAGGAAACTATTAACATCTCCTTGGATTATGAGTGTTGATTTTCAGAACACAGTTTGGGAAGTGCTGCACTAGAATATTAATGCCCTTATCCCTAATTTTACTTTTCAGTCTAAAAACATAACTAGCTTATAAACTTAATTTTGTTTCTAATGTACTAGCCTTTTTTTTTTTTAGTTAATTCAATTGTCAGTAACTTCTATTTTAAAAGCAGCAAATTTATGCTCATAATAATGTCACTTTCTTCTCTCACCTATAACAGTAGTTGAGATCGAATTGTGTTTCAGCAGACTAGACTCTGACTGTCTAAAGTCCTGAGCTTTGGCACCTACTGAGTAATCATTGAATGTATTCAGCTAAGATCCTAAATCCTTGAGTAAAAAAGCCAGTCCACTTTGGCTAGAGTCCCTGGCTTCTTTTGAATTCAAAAGATTCTCATGTGTCAGTATAAGATTCAAAAGTAGTTTTAAAGATTAACCTTGCTCAAACAAGTATAATAGATATCATGCTTTCCCCCCTACTTTAGTCTAACTTTTAGAAATCTACTTTTGAAAGTACAGTAAGTAGTAATTTGTTCTCAGTAAATTTTAGAAACGATTATTTGGTATAATTCATTGTTGGTTAAAGTTTCACTAATAGGGCAAATTGACTTTTGGAAAGATTTTGAAAACTATTTATCATGGCTTAATAGTGCATTATTCTCATGAGATGGGTGAGCTATATCAGAATCACTTATGCAACTTTTTTCAAAATGTATGTCTAAACATATTTCACCTCCACCTTCCATTGATCTCTAGGCAGTCAAGCCTTTTAGGAAAATGGAGAAGGCACGTGATGCATAATTAAGCACATCCCAGATGATTCTGATCTTAACCCTAACTCAGTAATTCCCAAACTTTGCAGCACGTTGGAATCATCACCAGGGGAAATTTAAAAACAATCCTCAGGTCTGGCACAGTGGCTCATGCCTGTAAACCTAGCACTTTGGGAGGCCAAGGTGGGTAGACTGCCTGAGCTCAGGAGTTTGAGACCAACCTGGGCAACACTGTGAAACCTCGTCTCTACTAAAATACAAAAAATTAGCTGTAATCCCAGGCTGAGGCAGGAGAATCCCAGACTGAGGCAGGAGAATCGCTTGAGCCTAGGAGGCAGTGGTTGCAGTGAGTGGAGATCGGGCCACTGCACTCCAGCCTGGACGACAGAGTGAGACTCAGTCTCAAAAACAAAGCAAAACAAAACAAAAACAAATAAAACCAATCCCCGGGCCTCAAGTCATACCCAATGCCAATTAAATCAGAATGTCTCAACTTGGAAGTTAGGCAGTTTTTAAAGCTCCTCAGGTGATTGCAGTGTGCAGAAAGTTTGAGAACCAATGCTTAATTGAGTGTAGGAGGATGAACTGCTTCTATTTGGGGGGACCTTGGGCAAGTCCGTTTTAAGCCTTGGTTCCCAGATCTATAAACTGGGTGTTGGATTAAATGTCATGTAAGGTTCCGTGGTCCTTTTTAGCACATAACTTCAAATTCTGTAACGTTAAAATCAATTTGGACATGAAACTGTTTGAAGCACTATAGAAGTATCCATCTTACATGCTAATAATGTTACAGGTTTTAAAAAGTGCTAACATTGTATAGACTTTTAAAATTCAGATTTGCCTTCCCTCAATTATTTTGAGCCTCGGTTTAGAGACTGAGGGCAAGTGGAAGCATATAACTTACCTAAGACAACTCCTTGTTTCCTGATACATCTGTGGGTAATTTAGGAATACAGTAACATATCTGAAGAGTCATGTCTGTTCATTAATATTGCATTTAAAGCAATTTGGAAACCTTTGCCATTAATATTACACTTTGTAGTTTTATGCTGCATTGTTAGCACTGCTTATTTCAGAATAGCTACACCTATCACTGGTTTTGTGTGCACTTATTTACTAATAAATTTTCTACTAATAATGATGCAAAATTCATCTTAAATTTATTTGGTATAAAACACTTTTATTATTTACTTTAAGGGGAAATAATGAAAAATGGGTGGGTAGGTGATAGTTAATTAAATCAACTGAAATGCAGAGTCTAATAATTTAAAAAGCAAAAAAAAAAAAGCTGAATGGCTTAAATTTAAGCATGTATACAAACAGGCAGAACTTGTATAAAATGAAAGGTTCTATGGGCAGAAGAGCAAATGGAGATATAGGTAATTATTTATATATTATAATAATCAACAGAAACATGTATTTTAATAGCATATTAGCATTTTGATTCACATATTTTTGCTGAAAGGAACTAAAACAAGGGGAAGGTACCCATGTGGTACTGTTCTGAACTAGAGAATTTCAGGGCCGCTAGGAGGGTTCCTCCCTTCCCCCATTTAAAAAATGTCTTCAGGCCTAACAAATGATAAGATCAGTTGTTAAAAATAATTTTTTTTCCCTTCACAGTGTGACCTTAGCAATATATTACCACATAAAGAACAGGTGAGCTCCTTTAAAACCTGTCTTGTTATTCTAGCTAATTACTTTGCATGATGTCAAGTTCAGTATTAGGTCATAACTGTAGACATCATAAGTTGTAGAGTGCTATTACAGTATTGACCTGAATCATTTGTGGTTTTTCTGGTCCCTAAGACTGTTTTAACTCAAGTTACTGAGGATCCCAAAGAGTATTTATGTTGATTATATTAATATTTATTGTATTAGAAACTGAAATTGAGAATTTTAAAACAACACTATTTTTAGTTTTAGTTTCTCAACCTTGGCACTGTTGATATTTTGAGCTAGGTAAGTCTTTGTTATGGGGACTGTCCTGTGCATTGTAGGATATTTAACAGCTGTCCCAGGTTGTGACAACAAAGATAAGCCCTGACTGAGAACCATATTGTTAATATAAATAACATTTTTTCAGTAACTCTCTTCTCCAGCAACAAAGTTGGATAAAATGTGTGTTATATTTTTGCAAATCTCTAATGTTCAGCTTAATAGAAAACAACTGGATTCTCAACTCTGTCTTTGCAATTAGTTTTTTTTTTTTTTAATTTCAACTTTTATTTTAGATACAATAGTACATGTGTAGGTTTGTTACATGGTTAATATTGCACCCGGGTAGTGAGCTGTAGTTTTTTTTTTTTTTGAAGTGATGACAAGATGGCCTAGCCTCTTACAAATGTATAGTTGGTAAAAGTATATTTTTAAAGCTTTCAGATGGTTCTGGGTATTCTTAATTTTTTAATTTTATTTATTTGGTTCTTTTTGAGATGGAGTCTTGCTCTGTTGACCAGGCTGGAGGGCAGTGACACAATCTCAGCTCACTGCAACCTTCGCCTCTCAGGTTCAAGCGATTCTCCTGTCTCAGCCTCTCAAGTAGCTGAGATTACAGGTGCATGCCACCACTCCCGGCTGATTTTTGTATTTTTAGTAGAGATGGGGTTTCACCATATTGCCCAGGCTCATCTCAAATTCCTCAGCTCAGGCAATCCTAACGTCTTGGCCTCCCAAAATGCTGGGATTACAGGCATGAGTCATCATGCCTGACCTGGCTCACCTTTCTTGATAATGTCAAAAGCTCGCTTTTGTTAGTATCACTACTAATTGTACTAAAAAGTCTTTAAGTATTGAGAAGCTGTCAAGATCATCGTATAAGGTACAAGTTTCTCCAAATCAGATTTTTAGCTTAAACGCTTGAATTTTATCGTTGGCAACAAATAGTTTTCTTTCTTTCTTTTTTTTTTTTTTTTGAGTTTTGCTCTTGCTGCCCAGGCTGGAGTAGTGCAGTGGCATGATCTTGGCACACTACAACCTCCGCCTCCCAGGTTCAAGTGATTCTCCTGCCTCAGCCTCCCGAGGAGCTGGGATTACAGGCATACACCACCATGACTGGCTAATTTTGTATTTTTAGTAGAGGCGGGGTTTTGCCATGTTGGACAGGCTGGTTTCGAGCTCCTGACCTCAAGTGATCCACCCGCCTCGGCCTCCCAAAGTGCTGTTATTACAGGCGTGAGCCACAGCACCCGGCCAATAGTTGATTTTTCTTGAAATGACAGGCTCACTTATTATTTTTAGAATTTTTATTTATTTATCTTTTGAGACTTACTCTTACTCTGTCACCCAGGCTGGAGTGCAGTGGTGCCATCTTGGCTCATTTTAACATCTGCCTTCTGGGTTCAAGTGATTCTCCTGCCTCAATCTCCCGAGTAGCTGGGACTGCAGGTGCCCATCACCATGGTTAGCTAATTTTTGTCTTAGTAGAGACAGGGTTTCACCATGTTGGCCAGGCTGGTCTTAAACTCCTGACTTCAAGTGATCCACCTGCGTCAGCCTTCCAAGGTGCTGGGATTACAGGCATGAGCCACTGCGCCTGACCACTTCATTCATTTTTTAGAATGATAGTTGTACTTGCAAGTAAAAATGTTACTCTGTGGAAAAAAAAATGGCTTGTTCAGCTCACAATTAAATCACAAGTGCTTTTCCTTAACACATCTATACCTCATAGGCAGAAGTACTTTATGTAAACTTTCTACTTACTCAGAATAGTAAAAAGAAAGGTCAAGATTTAATAATACAATTAATTTTTACTGCTTCATCAGGATATTCTTTTTTTTTTTTTTTTTAAATAGGGGGTTTCTCTGTGTTGGTCAGGCTGGTCTTGAACTCCCAACCTCAGGTGATCAGCCTGCTTCAGCCTCTCAAACTGCTGGGATTACAGGCGTCAGTCCCCACGCCAGACCCATCAAGGATATTCTTTAAGTGAAGCAGGTGTTTTTCTTAAACTGCAGGAGGGAGTAAGGAATAAAATGAGTAGTATAATTTGGTAGCACTGCCTTGATTACTGCTGAGAAACCAGCTTACCCACTTTTGCTGTTACATGTTCATTACAAATGTCAAACAGTGAAAAAGCAATCGATATCTTAGTATTTTTATAATTATTTTTATTTTAAAATTTTCAATCAGCTTTCTCAGGTTGAATAAGTATTTTTTATAAGAACAGTTTTGACCTCAAGGGCCTCTTGGAAAAGGGTCTAGGAGATCTCCAGAGGTCCAAAGACCACACTTGGAGAACCACTGGTTTTATTAAATGAGCACAGTGTTGTATTAGTTTTATGAACTTGTAAAGATGATGAAAGACTTGTCTCTTTTAAAATAAAAAGGCAATAAGGTTTTTAACTCATCAAACTACTTAAAAAACAAATACATGATAAGAATGTAATACAGAGAACTAAAGGGGAAAAGCCTGGGAAGTCTGAATCTCATTCATAGTCATTAAAGTTCTAAAGCCTTTATTGCCCATCACTACTCCTCTGTAAAATGTCCTTCAGTCCCAATGAGGGGTTAGAAGTGTGAAAATATGTTTATTACCGTGGCCTGTTAGGGAGGGTCAATACTTAGAAAAGACTTCACAGTACAGTACTTCATCTGCTGAGTTAAAAGAGGTCTGGAAATCCTCTGAAGGCTGGGATACAGGAGAATAGTTTGTACTACTGTTCTCTTTGGTGAAGCAAATACCAAAGTAAACAGGAGTCATCTCCCTCCATCTCCAGCAGATAATAACTAATACTCAGATATTAACAATTCCTGAATTAATTTATTCAATGATATTCTTATTTTGTAGAGATGCAAATAGATCCCTGGATATTTTTGATGAGAGATCACATCCACTTACAGTAAGTATCACTTTTTTGGGGTAATATTTTTTCTCTCATAGAGCTGTGTTTATTTCATGCTGATATTTATAAATAGTCCTAATAAATATACATGATATCTATGAATATAATTAGAAAACAGTTTAAATTTAAATCAATTAAAACGATATAAACATTTCAAAATTCACCTCCTCAGGTATATGTTAGCCCCTTGTGGCTAATGACTACTGTATTGGACAGTGAAGCCTTATGGTTACCAGAGCCTTATGGTTACCAGAAACTGAAACTTTTTCAAAGTTTATTTAAGAGAATCATGACATATGATTAATAAGACTTTCAAGACTACAAGTAGTTTGCATTTTGATAGAATTCTGTGGAGGGAAGGTGGAAAACAACATAAAAATTTTCTGAGTTGGCCTGTATTTTTCCTTCATGATAAATGGTGATTAGTATTGAATCATTAAGATACTTTAAGGTCCAATTGTTTATATTTTAAAAACTAAAAGACATGTCACTCAACCAAAATCATTTTAAGGGGCACATGGGCTCAAATGTAAATATTGCTGCTGTCTTAAGAATACACAGGCTGGGTATCGTGGCTCACACCTCGTGATCCACTCCCAGCACTTTTGGAGGCCGAGGTGGGTGGATCACCTAAGGTCAGGAGTTCGAGACCAGCCTGACCAACATGGTGAAACCCTATATCTACTAAAAATACAAAAACTAGCCGGGCATCGTGGCAGGTGCCTGTAGTCTTAGCTACTCAGGAAGCTGAAGCAGGAGAATCGCTTGAACCTGGGAGGTAGAGGTTGCAGTGAGCCGAGATCACACCATTGCATTCTAGCCTGGGCAACAACAGTGAAAGTCTGTCTCTTTTCTTTTTGTGATGGGGGTACAGAGTCTAATTCTGTCACCCAGTGCAATGGCATGATCTCAGCTCACTGTAACCTCCACCTCCTGGTTCCAGTGATTCTCCTCCCTAAGCCTCCCGAGTAGCTGGGATTACAGGCACACCCAGCTAATTTTTTGTATTTTTAGTACAGACAGGGTTTTACCATGTTGCCCAGGCTGGTCTCGAACACCTGACGTCAGTTGATCCACCTGCCTCAGCCTCCCTAAGTGCTTGGAATTACAGGTGTGAGCTGCTGTGCCAGCTGAAAGTCTAACTCAAAAAAAAAAGAGTACTTAAAATTTTGTCCTTCAATGGATACTAACATTGCATCTTTTCTTCTTTCAGCGAGAAAAAGTTCCAGAGGAATACTTTAAGCATGATCCTGAGCACAAATTTATTTACAGATTTGTTCGTACTCTTTTTAGTGCTGCACAGCTAACAGCTGAATGTGCAATAGTAACTTTGGTAAGATATTTCTCATTTATAAAGCATCTTTAGAAATTAGTCTTGTACACAGGGTATGGTCCTATTTTTCAAATAAAAATAGATTCCTGAAATTATCATCAGAACTTAGAGAAACCTATGAAAGGAAAGTAAATACCTTCTCATTTAATCATCATTATGGTGGAAAATGTTTCCATTGCTTTTCTCATCACAGAACAGTTGCTACAAAAGGTAGCAGTGGAGATTTCTGATTTCTCCTCCTCCACATCAGTGCACATTCAGTGTGCATACATACAAGGCATGGTGGCAGAGCTGGAGGGTGATGGGAAGTGAAAACAAAACCATGTGGTCCAGAGGCAGATACTGATTCCAGTTTAGGTCTAAGCCAAGTCCCAGGCTGTATTCCCCAGGTATTTCCGACGTGTGTTGTGATTGAGAACTATTGTTCTAAATGTTTTGTTCCTTGGATGATGGGTTTTAATCCGTCTCTGCCTACCTCTTGTGCCTGCTCATGATGTTGCCCAGCAATGTGGTATACCAGTAATATGTGAACAAAGGCTTTTCTTAGCTTACTAAGCTATACATGTGTGTTTAACTTTATGTCCTCCATACAGAATTCCTATGGTAAGATTTTATCATTGAATAATAAATCCTATTCAAGTGGTTAGGATTGTTTTACTTCTCCCCACAGCAAACCTGTAGAGGAAAGTCAACTGCATGGCCTGCAGGGAAAGAATATTGAGGTCAGTACCTACTCCTTTAGCATCCAATTGGAATTTAGGAGAGAAGGCTTCTGATATGTACTTGAATAGAAACCCCTCAGTGGGTAATGGATCAGACATAGGCCTTTTCATAGGGCTGTAAGCCATTTGGAACACTTAGCACATGCTGTAGAGAAGCAGGAGTGGTGCTTCCAGACAGAGAGAGACAGGCGATGCAGGAGGGAGAGCTGTATAGGAAGAGAGGGAGTTCATTATAGATGGGTTAAGCTATATGTGCCTGTGAGGGAGCAGAGTGGCAGTGTCCAGTAATCATTTGAATATACCAGACTGGAGCATGAATCTGAGCTTAAAGGTAAGGAATGAAGAATAAGAGTAGCTGTTCAAATACAGAGAAAGGGTGCAGAATGAAAGTGGACCAGCTAGATGTGGTGGTGCACACCTGTAGTCACTGTTACTGGGAGGCTGAGGTGGGAGGATCACTTGAGTGCAGTAGTTTGAGTCCAGCCTGGGCAACATAGTAAGATTCCTATCTCTTTAAAAAAAAAAAAAAAAAAAAGAAAGAAAGTGGATAGAAGATAGATCTCTAAAGACCGTTAGCATTTGAGTGACAAGCTCTTAGATGGAGTGAAAGGAGGAAACCCAGAAGGTAATAAAAGAACAAAGAGTTCGCCGGGTGCGGTGGCTCAAGCCTGTAATCCCAGCACTTTGGGAGGCTGAGGCGGGTGGATCATGAGGTCAGGAAATCGAGACCATCCTGGTCAACATGGTGAAACCCCGTCTCTACTAAAAATACAAAAAATTAGCTGGGCATGGTGGTGTGTGCCTGTAATCCCAGCTACTCAGGAGGCTGAGGCAGGAGAATTGCCTGAACCCAGGAGGCAGAGGTTGCAGTGAGCTGAGATCATGCCATTGCACTCCAGCCTGGGTAACGAGCGAAACTCCATCTCAAAAAAAAAAAAAGAAGAAGAAGAAGAACAAAGACTTCAAGATAAGAGAGGCTGTGGTCCCGGTGTTAAATGCTGCCAAGAAGTTGCTGATTCTGTAAATACTCACTGGATGCCTTCTCTGTGCCACTCTTCTTTTTTGTTTCATTTTTAAGACTTTTTTTTAGTAGAGCTATAGTCTAGCTATGTTGCCCAGACTGGCCTCAGAACTGGCCTCAAGTGATTCTGCCAGAGTGTTGGGATTACAGGCATGAGCTACCAAGTGCTAGGGTAAAGAAGAGGACAGACTGAACAAGTTTCTTGCCTTTATGAGCTTATTTTCTGGTGAAGAAGACATTATTCTTTCAGGTACTGGTAAGTAGCAAGATGAAGCAGGATAAAGGGATACAGAGTGATAGGAGGCGCTCACTGTTTTAGAAAGAATGATCAGGAAAAAAGAACCTCTCTAGAGGTGACATTTGAACAGTGACCTGAAGGTAAGGGAAGGTAAGGCGTGCTGGCATTACAGGCAACCAGACAAGTACCAAGACTAGACAGGAACCTGATTTTTTGTGTGTGTTCAAGGAACAAACAGCAAAGTGTACAGTGTGGGTGGAGTGAGAACTGAGAGAAAGAGTGGAGGAGGTGAGCTCACATGGGCAATGCCACACATAACTCATAGGGCCTTTTGGCTTGCAGGCCACAGGAAAAAGTATTTGTTTTGTTTTGAGTTCGAGTCTTGCTTTGTCATCCAGGCTGGAGTGCAGTGGCATGATCTTGGTTCACTGCAACCTCCACCTCCAGAGTTTAAATGATTCTCCTGCCTCAGCCTCCCGAATAGCTGGGATTACAGGCATGCACCACCACGCCTGGCTAATTTTTATTTTTAAAGTAGAGACGGTTTTGCCATGTTGGCCAGACTTGTCTTGAACTCCTGACCGCATGTGATCTACCCACCTCAGCCTCCCGAAGTTCTAGGATTACAAGTGTGAGCCATTGCGCCTGGCCAGGAAGAGGTTTTTATTCCAGTTTGTTGGGTATAGGTTTTGAGCAGGGGAGTGAAGTGCTCTTAATTTAAGAGGTTATACTGACGCCTTGACAAGAGTAAACCGTAATAAACAGAATCGAGGCAGAGAAGAGAGTTAAGAAGTTAACTAGGGTAATGTAGATGAGCAGTGACAAATGGTGGCTCAGAATGAAAAGCAGGCAGCCTACCAGTGAAGGTGGACAGAGGAGGAATTGTGCACAATCTGGAATGGGGTAACTCGAATGTAGGCATTTGGCCTTAGCAACTAGGTGAATGGGAATGCCCTGTACAATATTAGGGACAGCTTGGGAAGTGGAGCAGTGGGATGGAGAGCTCTGGTTTGTAAGTGTGAAGGCTTTGGAGACCTTAGCAAGAAGAGTCTCAGAAGAGTGACAGCAGCAAGGGACAGACAGAAGTGGGTTAAGGAGAGATGGGAGATGAGAAGCTGACACCAGGGCATGATGCTTAGAGCAAATGAGAGGACACATCCGGGGGGGAACAAAGGAAACACATTGGGGAAAATCTGGCAGAGAAGGCAAAAGCCTTCAAAAAGATCCAATTGTGGGAATAGTGTTCTGCAGAAGTGGGATGGGATCAACTGCACTGATAGAGTTGGCTTTAGTGGGAAGAAAAGAACTTTCACACTGACGCACAAGGGCAAATGGTATCAGTGAGCATCAGCACATCATCATCTTACCAGTAAAGGCAACAGGAAGTTGAGGGATTGTGTTGTTTCACTGCTATCTCATTATTCCCATTGAGAGTTGAACCTTGTGAAGGAGGTTCAGTCTTAGGATACTGAGAGTGCAGAATTTGGGGGAAAGGGAACCGAATCTCTCTTAAGAACATGTCATGTTCAATACACGTTTTTGAAAACAGAGTTGAGTTTGGAGAACACTGCCAGATCTGAGCCGACTATCTGATAACCTTCAGACAATAAATAAACTCTTAAAATGAACCTTTGTTTGTTTGTTTTTGAGATGGAGTTTTGCTCTTGTTGCCCAGGCTGGAGTGCAATGGTGTGATCTTGGCTCACTGCAACCTCCACCTCCCAGGTTCAAGCAATTCTCCTACCTCAGTGTCCCGAGTAGCTGGGATTACAGGCATGTGTCACCATGCCTGGCTAATTTTGTATTTTTTAGTAGAGACAGGACTTCACCATGTTGGCCAGGCTGGTCTTGAACTCCTGGCCTCAAGTGATCTGCCTGCCTCGGCCTCCCAAAGTGCTGGGATTATAGGCATGAGCCCACCGCTCCAGGCCTGTTGCTGGCCAACATGGTGAAATGCTTCTCTACTGAAAATACAAAATTTAGCCAGGTGTGCTGGTGGGTGCCCAGCTATTCGAGAGGCTGAGGCAGAAGAATCGCTTGAACCCAGGAGGCACAGGTTGCAGTGAGCCAAGATTGCACCACTGCACTCCAGCCTGGGTGACAGCAATATTCCATCTCAAAAAAAAAAAAAAATTACTTTTGTCTTGATAAAGAGATCAAATAGCATGTAGACATACTCTTCTGCAGAGAGCCCTTTGAGGTAACGGCAGATCGCAGCTTACCTCTATAATCTTTTCTCAGCTGTTTGCTTTGCTCAGTTCTTTGAAGGATGTTTGGTAGATGTAAAATAATTCATGCAATTGTCTCATAAACTGCTTGGCAGGTTTAGAGGAATACCAGGGGGTCCAGAGACATCCTTTTTTCCATGTACAAGTGTTTCTTGTGGAGACACTACGGTGATTATTTTACAGCCTCAAAGACCTGCGCCTGTCATGCTGCTTTGCACAACAGCCACTGGGTGGCTCTCTTGACCAGCGGTTCTTCAAGCTAGTGCCACGAAAGGGTTAGTTATTGTGAAAAGGAGAAGGTAAACATGTGCTCAGTATTACTTGGGTTTTATATGTTCGAGCATAACATAACTACCTGTAAAACTATCTACCATCTAGGTATGATACGCTGAGAGTACCTCTCTTTATGATGCCTTTTGCCGAGATGTTCAATCATTCCTGTAACCAAAATTGGGTTGGAAATGTAGATGGGCAAAGCAGGCAGCAGAGATACCTGACCTACAACTGTGATTTGGTGTCTTGCTTTGGCCAACTAAGCAAAGTCGCTGAAGAACATAATAAAAGGCACTTATTTTCTGGTCAAAAACAGAATAAATCTGTCATTCGTAAGAATTCTTATCAAAGCATTTAAACTGAACTGAAATCAAAGACCAGTGCTCTATTTTACAGGTTTATTTAGAAAGGCTCTTAACTTATGCTGAAATCGACATCTGTCCCACTAATTGGAAAAGGATTGTTCTGGGAGCCATTCTTCTTGCCTCCAAGGTTTGGGATGATCAGGCTGTGTGGAACGTGGACTATTGCCAGATCCTCAAGGACATTACAGTTGAGGACATGTGAGTTTGTAAGGTTTTGGTGAACTTTCTAAAGTTAACACTTTAAGGAATATTTTTAAAGGTTATACAGATAACGGAAATAGGCATAAGACTTTGTCTAGCTTAATATAACAGTTCACAACAGAGCAAGAATCTGTCTCAGAAAAACCCAGCTTCACATTTTTCATCATTAATTGATAGGTTTTGTTGTGTAATAATCTGCTTGATAAATTGAAAAGTCTTTTTCTGGTGGTTTTTGGCAAACATCTTACAAGTGTACTACCAGAACAACATAGTACAGTAAATATCTTTATGGCTTTTAAAAAGTTATCTGCCAGTTCAAGCTCCTTTCTTTTTCATTTATTTATTTATCTTTTCTTTCTTTTTCTTTTTTTTCATGTGACCAGTGGGGTATAAACAGCCCCTAAAGGGCATATGTCTGGCCTTTGAAATAATTGGCCACTCTTAAGGTCATAGGGCCTCTGGACTGTTGAGAAGTTATAGCTTCAACCTGAGTCACACATTGTATATTTGCTTTTGCTAGTCTTTTTCCACATTTTATCTGAAGGTCTTTTTATAAAAGCCTTGAGATATGAAGATCCCTGTGGCCCTGACTCCCTCCCCATTAGGAGTGTTTCATGTGTTTTGAAATTGGTCTGATGATTGATGAAGCTCCGGTGTTCCCCTCAGGCAATCTGAGAAGCACTGCTGGGGCATCACCCAATGCTCACCACACTTGAGAGGCTCCCTGGGCACTCGGACAACCACAGCACCACTTTGGGGGCCTTGAGTTACCTATGAGAGTGTAAGAAGTCATGCTGAGTCATGGAGTTCCTCACAGATGGCACCAACATGACCCTGAAAGAGCGGCTTCATCAGGGCTTCCTTCCAGTCTGGCCTCATGACTGCTGTGAAGGGAAGGGCCTTGGAGCTTGGTAGGCAGCGTAAGCCAGGGAGGCATTTCCAGCAAAGACTCTCAGGGTACTCACTGGATAGTGAGAATGGCTTTGTGGGTGGCATTCAGAACAATGTGAAGGAGCACGTCTTGATTTCATGTTGAGCAGCAGAGGAAGATCGAGGTCAAGACAGGCAGTGGCAAGAGCTTGTTTTTATTGCCTTTGCCATTACTCCATATGACTGTCATTCAGAATTAGCATACCATATACTCACAACTGAAGTGAGGAGACTTGTGACTAAAAAGGAACCAGTAATTGTGGTAGCTGTTGAAGTGGCTTTTGGTGAAGTTAACCACTTTACTAATGATGTAAACCAAACAGCTGTGGTGATATTGCTGGTAGCCGTTTTAGCAAAGGATATGACAGCAAGTAACTTTGAAACAAATGTAAGTACTTTTGGAAGTTGCAGAAGCTAAAGTGACTTCGATCACTGCTGTCATCAGTCTGCAAACTAGTTTCTTGAAGGAAGCAAAATTTATAATTATGAACACTTAGCCATACCATGATGGCAGCTAAAATGTTCTCAAAATCTGCGACCGAACTGGCTGGGACTCTAGTTCTAAACCCAAGATCAGAGAACACACAGGGAAATGTGCAGGTTTCTACAGATGTGAGCTCCAGGAGCATCAGTGGCAGGGGCCAGCTCCAAAAAGACCAGTTCCAAAGACTAGTGCTATTTGTGTATGCCCAGGGAAGCACCAGGAGCTCTGCTACTAACACTCTACTTTTGTTTATGATCTTTGCAAAGCATTTCAACAAACGGTTTAATAAACATTTATATATTAAACAAATGTCATCCCCCTGCTGTTGACTATTTGTAGTGGTCTCATTTTGAGTCTAAATTTAAAAATTTTATATTGGTGCCTTTCAGGTTTTTCTTAAACTTTTTCAAATCTACATGTCATGTTAGAATATATTTCCCTTTAACAGAATAAGTTAAACTGAGCAGCTGCTATTCAGATGGTTTGCTGTGCCTGTAAAGGGTATGCTATTCAGCCATCTAGCCATTTAAAAAACAACAAAAAGCCTAGAAGATGCATATTCTATGGGCATAATGCTTTTCTTCAGTGATTAAACCCCTATTAATACATGTGTTAATCCTATGAAGTACTATATTTCTACACAGTTAAAATGTATTAGTGGAAAAAATATAAAAGGGATTGTGAAGTGCATTTATTACTGTAGTAAATTAAGTCCTGATTAGCTGATTATCAAAACATTATCTGATTTACATTTCTATAGACTTTCGGACGTATGAACAGGAAATTAATTTTGGAATTAGGTTCAGTTGGGTTTTTAAGCTCAGCAAATGAGAAAACCACATCTCTGCTCATATTCTAACTGCCCTCCATACAGGGGCTCATCAAGCATTTGTTGACCTAGCCAGTGGATAAAATATTAAAATTTTAAAACCAAGAAACCAAATATGTTGTTCAGGTATTTATCATTTTAATACAGTTAACTGTATAAAAGAGTTACTGTGGGCCGGGTGCGGTGGCTCACGCCTGTAATCCCAGCACTTTGGGAGGCCGAGGCAGGTAAATCACGAGGTCAAGAGATCGAGACCATCCTGGTCAACATGGTGAAACCCTGTCTCTACTAAAAATACAAAAAATTAGCTGGGCATGGTGGCGCGTGCCTGTAATCCCAGCTACTCAGGAGGCTGAGGCAGGAGAATTGCCTGAACCCAGGAGGCAGAGGTTGTGGTGAGCTGAGATCTCACCATTGCACTCCAGCCTGGGTAACAAGAGTGAAACTCCGTCTCAAAAAAAAAAAGAGTTACTGTCAAAGTGGTTAAGATTTTCTCTGGTTTTATGTTTATTTGCTTAAGCGTTTGGCAAGGGCAGCTCTGTGGTCATGTGGCTGAGGACTACAAGCACCTTAGGGTTTCATTCCCAACTCAGAAGAAATGCCTGAGTTTATAAATCCAGTGACCTACCAGAAGTCATATCAAAATGGGTTTAGTCTGGCTGAGACATCCACCTTTGATCCTTCTGCCTTCCAAAAGATGGAGAGGATCCTTACCCTGTCATAGTGACAATTTCTCACCTTCATAATATTAAAGTGAGCAGAAACTTTCATTATGCCCTTTGACATAGCCTCATGCACTGGAACAGGAGGAGAGGATTCCCTTCCCCTGTAATGTGGCTTGCTTATTTTATTTATTTGAGATGAATCCTTGTTGCCTCAAGAGTTTTTCCCCCTCAGAGATAATAGCAGTGGCTCTCGATGGATCCATTTGTTGCCGTGGTGATGTGCCCACTCCTTTTGTTGGTGCTTCTCTACTTCAATAAGCCCCTTCCTGTTATCAGCCCGGTGAAAATGTCTGCAAGTTCTTCAGAGCTAATAAACAGCATACATCATTCCTTTCATCTGATCACTATAGTGGGGCCTTGTGAGTGAGCATGAAGTATGAATTGTACAGCTGCACTAATGGAACTCTGAAGAATGAGGCCCGAGTCAGCAGCACAAGTGCATCAGAGGCCTTAACCTTCAACCCTCATCCCAATCCCAGAGTGCTGGGATGCAGAAGGAACCACAAGTAACTGTACCTTGTGTGAACATTAGTATGTTAATGCATCTGGGTAACCTATATTTTAAAACAGAGTTTAGAGCCATTCTTGTAGCTCTAAACTACGAGATATTTTTGAAGAGCGCCCAGTTGACTAACATTGTTCTGTTCTGTTCTTCCTCCTCCAGGAATGAAATGGAAAGGCATTTTTTGGAGCTTCTTCAGTTTAATATTAATGTTCCTGCCAGTGTTTATGCCAAATACTACTTTGACCTTCGCTCCTTAGCAGATGACAACAACCTGAATTTTCTATTTGCTCCTCTTAGCAAAGAAAGAGCACAGAACCTAGAGGTAAGTCTGGGAAGTCACTAAGTGGGGTTTTCCATCAGCCACCAAAGCCAACATCTGTGACTAAATCATATTAAGTAGTGATTAGGAAAATGGAAAGCTTTAAAATCAACTAGCACACTGAAGAGCTTATTAGCCATTTGGCATCAGATTTCCTGTGTCTTTTATGGTTTATACGAGGATCAACATTATTTTAAAATTATACATACTGCCTCTTCTGTGACCATAATTCCGAATATTTTCAATCAAATTTAATCTGTTCTTAATGGGTTTCCTTTTGAACTTGTATTCTTTCACATAATCATACATGAATAATTTTTTTTAGCTGGGTGCAGTGGCTCATGCCTGTAATCCCAGCACTTTGGGAGGCTGAGGTGGGCAGATCACTTGAGGTCAGAAGTTCAAGACTAGCCACTGGCCAACATGGTGAGACCCCATCTCTACTAAAAATACGAAAAAAAAAAAAAAAAAAAAAAAGGGCCAGGCACGGTGGCTCTTGCCTATAATCCCAGCACTTTGGGAGGCCAAGGAGAGTGGATCATGAGGTCAAGAGATCAAGACCATCCTGGTCAACAAGGTGAAATTCCGTCTCTACTAAAAATACAAAAATTAGCTGGGCATGGTGGCAGGCACCTGTAGTCCCAGCTACTCAGGCGGCTGAGGTAGAATTGCTTGAACTCAGGAGGCGGAGGTTGCAGTGAGCCGAGATCAAGCCATTGCACTCCAGCCTGGGTAACAAGAGCGAAACTCCATCTTAAAAAAAAAAAAAAAAAATTAGCTGGGCATGGTGGCACATGCCTGTAATCCCAGCTACTTGGGAGGCTGAGGCATGAGTGTTGCTTGAAACTGGGAGGCAGAGGTTGCAGTGGGCTGAGATCATGCCACTATACTCTAGCCTGGGTGACGGAATGAGACTATCTCAAAAAAAATTTCTTTGTGACTGTATTCCTAATTTTATCTTGACATAATTCACTTGCCACTCCTGACTTTTAATTATTTATTCTGTTAGCAAATTCATGTCATTGTTTATATATCACATTGCAGTCCCGTAAGTTTTTTAGACAGAGGATTAGTGGCTAAGCCAAGAGACCTATACCCTTCACTATATAGGGTGCAGGTGTTTCAAATACTGGATGTAAGGGCCGGGCGCTGTGGCTCACGCCTGTAATCCCAGCACTTAGGGAGGCCAAGGCGGGCAGATCACTTGAGGTCTGGAGTTCGAGACCAGCCTGGCAAACTTGGTGAAACCCCATCTCAACTAAAAAAAAATACAAAAATTAGATGGGTATGGTGGCAGGCAACTGTAATCCCAGCTACTCAGGAGGCTAAGACAGGAGAATCGCTTGAACGCAGGAGGTAGAAGTTGCGGTGAGCTGAGATTGTGCCACTGCACTCCAGCCTGGGTGACAGACTAGGACTCCATCTCAAAAATTAAATAAAAAATAAAAACCCATGTACTTCTACAATCCAGTATTTGCTTTTTTGTTTTTGTTTTTTGTTTTCATTTTTGAGACAGGGTCTCACCCTATTGCCCAGACTGGAGTTCAGTGGCATGATCTTGGCTCACCACAGCCTCTCCTCCTGGGTTCAAGCAATTCTCATGCCTCAGCCTCCTGAGTAGCTGGGCACCTGCCATCACACCCAGATAATTTTTGTATTTTTAGTAAAGACAGGGTTTCACCTCAGCCTTCCAAAGTGCTGGGATTACAGGCATGAGCCACTGTGCCCATCCAGAAATGGTAACTTTTATGGGGCAAAGTAATATTTATGGCCTAGTGAGTATACAGCAGAATTACGACTGAAATGAACACATATTTTAAACTGATACTTTCCGTGGTACCTTGGTAGTACTTTAGAATGATATGTATTTCTCCGCTGGGTGAGGTGGCTCACGTCTGTAATCCCAGCACTTTAGGAGGTGGATCACTGAAGTCAGGAGTTCGAGACCAGCTGGCCAACATGGTGAAACTCCGTCTCTACTAAAAATATAAAAAATGAGTTGGGCATGGTGGCACATGCCTGTAATCCCAGCTACTCGGGAGACAGGCTGGAGAATCGCTTGAACCCGGGAGGTAAACGTTGCGGTGAGCTGAGATCACGCCATTGCACTCCAGCCTGGGCAATAAGAGCAAAACTCCATTTCAAGAGAGAAAAAAAGAATAATACCTATTTCTACCATAATTAACGTGCAAGTGAAGTAGCACCTTTTTGTGCTTCAGTCGTTTGACCTCATATGTTCCTGTATAGTCCAGTGCACACCTGCCTCATTAAAATTTACTTTGAGTATATATAATAGCTAATAAGGATTGGGTAGATTTGAATAGCTGAATAAAATTTTTTTGCACAAGTGTATGCTCGTTATAGTTAAGGAGTAAGTGCACAGGTAACAGATGCTATTGCTGTTCGGAGCCTATCACAGTATCTTTGACATCTTTGGGAATGTAATTTTTTAATAACTTAATAAATTCCCTTTTGTTCTCTGGCAATGTAATCATAGCCCTTAAGGGATATTACCTTGGTGAATTGGCAGAAAGTAGCATCCCCAGAACCTGGCAGTGTAAAACAGCTCAAGTAGCTGTAACTGTGAACTATCTAAAGGAGTCCACATGTGTGGCTTTCATCAATGGTGCCTTTTTAAAGGTGGGAACCCTTTTTAAAATTGTACCTGTTTTCTATCTGATTGACTTTCCTAGGCTATTTCTAGATTGTGTGAAGACAAAGACTTGTGTAGAGCCGCTATGAGAAGGTCTTTCAGCGCTGATAACTTCATTGGTATTCAGCGCTCTAAAGCCATCCTCTCTTAAAGGGAGAAATGAGGGGTTATAACATCACAGGACCTTCATCTACAAAGACTGAAGAATAACACCTTTCCTGCTCAAGAACCAGCAAAATTAGTGTTTTCATCATTGAATTCAGGAGACACATGGACAACAAGGATTATACTCCATAGGAAAGAATGGGACCTTGTCAATGCAACAAAACACTCTTTTGTCCTTTTTAATGTAAACAGAGTTACAAAAACCACTCCAAAGTGAAGGCTCCCATCCCACACACAGATATTTGCTTACTGTGTGGGCCAATAGCTGTGAACTATGTAAGGTTTTTTTTAAACAATAGTTTAAATTTTTAGACTTTAAAGACACTAACCATATAATTTTTATGTTTCTTCCAGTTTTTCTCCCTCTCCTCCCTTTTACTGCATATGCCTTTAAAATCAATGCAGTATTACCATTGAAACATGGGACTCTAAAGCCACTAAGGAGCGGACTGCAGCATTGTTAGGTATTGAAGTGTTCTTCCTCCCTACTGTTACCACTGAAGCTGCTAGTCATTGGCAATCATTTTAAACCAAAAAGCTGCTGGATAACATTTGTCATTCATATTCTTTGCAAACATTACTTTAACATTTTAGCATGTTTGGGGTCATAAACAGGAAGTATCAGTTACTGATATCTACTTCTCTTGGGGTCCATGTTGCATTTCTTGTGAACTATAAATGGTGCTTCTCATTTTTCGATAATTTTTCTCTTGTTAAATAAATGTATTAAAAGATATTTTCATAATGCCAACCAACATGGTGGTTCAGTGACAATGAAAAAAATGTAAAGCAGTTTTAAGCTTTAATATAGTTTGGGCCCTCCAAGGCACTGCAGCATGAGTATAAATGCTATAAACCTTTAAAAGACATCGTTTGAAAGTGTTTTAAAGTTTTTAAGAGATGGGGGTCTTACTGTGTCGCCAGGCTGGAGTGAATGCCTGTTCACAGGTGCAATCATAATGCACTGCAGCCTAGAACTTCCTGACCTCAAGCTACCTTCTAGCCTCAGCCACATGAGTAGCTGGGACTATAGGCATACCCGGCACTTGTCTCCTGAATATTAAGCTTTTAATTTTTTGATTCAGTCACTCTTGAATATAGCAGATACTGACTGAAAGAAAAAATTAAAAGCTTTATATTCAAAATTTGCAAAATGAAGCTGGGTGTGGTGCATGCCTATAGTCCCAGCTTCTTGGAAGGCTGGGGTTAAAGGATTGCTTGAAGTCAAGTATTGAAGGCTGCAGTGTACCATGATGGTGACTATAGGAATAGCTACTACACTCCAACCTGGACGTCATAGCAAGACGCCATGTCTTAAAAAAAAAAAAATGCAAAAGAAATGGGTTGGGCATAGTGATTCATGCCTATGATCTCAGTACATGGGAGGCTGAGGTGGGAGGATTGCTTGAGCAAGAGAATTCAAGACTAGTCTAGGCAACATAGTCAAACCCTCTCTGTAAAACAAATAATAAAAATAATTAGCTGGATATGGTGGCATGTGTCTATAGTCCCAGCTACTCTGGAGGCTGAGGTGAGAGGATCACTTGAGCACAGGAGGTCAAGATTGCATGGGCCATGATCATGCCCCTGCCCTCCAGCCTGGGTGACATCCAGACCCTGTCTCAAAAGAAAAAAAAAGGAAACCAAACAAGGTTTTGTAAAGGTTTGTAGCGTTTATACTTTTACAAGTATCAAAGCTTAGAATTACACTAAACTTTTGGAATACCTTTTATCTCCATAAAATCCCTCCTCTTTTTAAAAGAAGTTACTTGCAGGACTGCGCTCTATATGCTTTGATCCCTGAAGTTTCTTTAATGTAAAGGAAGATTTTGAAGAGCAGTGTTAATTAACATGTAATAAAAGGAATTGGACCCTAATGATAGAAGGTGATATGAACAGCTGTTTTATCATCCTACATGTTACCAGGCTGTAGGTGTTCCATTAAGTCCTGCTATTTAAGAAATAACTTACATAGCCCTTAGGAACTCTTACTTCAGGCTTTAAAAGGCAATGATCAAATAACTTTAGGAGACTGATAACAATGTCACCTAAATTTGAAATACTAAAAAGAGATTAGTGTTCTCAACGATGTGAAATGTATTTCTTCTACTTTCTCAAATATAATCCTAGGAATCTTGCTTATAAACAAAGCATTTCTGGGCCACAAATACTTCCTCTAATATAGCAGTGCTTGGCATCATATTGTGCTGCAGTTTCCATCATTTTTAAAGGACAGACACACAAATGATAATGGTATAAAAATACTACAATCTACCACCTCAAAAAAAATTGTTTGTGGAGTTCAGAGCTTGGAGATTCAAGTATTGATTGCAGTTTTATTTTGAAAAGAATGCTACAATTTATGTGGTTTTTATTTCTCATGTTTATATTAAAAGAAAAGCTAATAAACTCTATTTTAATTAAAATATGGCTAGTGTGTTTTTGTAACACTTCTATTCACATAATGTTACATCTCTGCCCACCCTAGTTTTAAGTCAATCCTGACATGTCTTAAACCATTTTCAAACCAACCATAAGTTGACTTGATCTATTTATGTTGGTCTCTAGTTAAGATGTAGTTATCCGTTTCTTTTGCATATGCTGTTTTCAACCTGAAGATAATTTATTACACTTAAAATCACTGGCCATGGTACTTAATGGCATAGTGCATTAGATGGCATCTCGAGTAATTGGTTATAGTGTCTGAGAGGGAAAAGCACATTAGAATTTAGGATTAAGTAAAATACCAAAGGGAAAGGAAATAACAGGAATAGCGTAGAATTAGAACAAGAGGTATTTTAGGTTTTCAAACAGTTAAGAAAGAATGGGAACACAGGAACTAGAATCTTTGTTGCTGTGGAAAGGGTGTCTTAAACCACATAATTTGACTTTAACGTGGTATTTTCAAGCTTACAATTCAGTTAAAAATATACCAAATCACTGTTGGATCAGCTTTTGCAGTTCTCTCTAAATCCTGATAGTACTGCAATATTTTCATCCACTTTAAATCTTCATTACCTAAAGTCAAATAAATAAATGATCATGGCCAGGCATGGTGGCTCATGTCTGTAATCCCAGCACTTTGGGAGACCAAGGCAGGCAAATCACATGAAGTTAGGAGTTCAAGACCAGCCTGATCAACATGGTAAAACCTCATCTCTGCTAAAAATACAAAAAAAAAAAAAAAAGGCCAGGCATGGTGACCAGTGCCTGTAATCCCAGCTACCCAGGAGGCTGAGGCAGGTGAATCCCTTGAACCCTGGAGGCAGAGGTTGCAGTGAGCCAAGATCCCACCACTGCACTCCAGCCTGGGCAACACTAGTGCAACTTTGTCTCAAAAAGTAAATAAAATTACACAAACTAGCAGGGTGTGGTGGCACACGCCTCTAATCCTAGCTACTCAGGAGGCTGAGGTACAAGAATCCCTTAAACCCAGGAGACAGAGTACAGTGAGTCACCACGATTGCACCACTGTACTCCAGCCTGGGTGACAGCATGAGACACTGTTTCAAAAATAATACCTGATCACCGTATCTTGATAAGTTGCTGACTAGGATAAATGATCTAATAGTAGTTTTTTCTAATAACTTAGAAAAAAAATCACAGGTCACTTTTTAAGACGGTTTGCACCCTGTGATATGCCAATGAGCAGAAATGCTGATATTTGAGTGGTCAAAGGTTTAAAAGAAAGTTTGGAAGAGCAACATTGGGCATAATCTGTGACTTGAACAAGTTGGTAAAATAAGTATCACTAAAGTTGCTCCCTTCCTTTGACTTTAGAAGGCAATACAGCAACTTTTTGATAAATGGGAAATTGGGTCACTTGAGGATAATCCAATATAAATGTCCCTGAAAAGCAGGTAGGTTCTCTGACAGATGTTCTGGGGCATGGAAACCACGTTGCTAGTGGGGTGGTAACTGGCATTTTTCTCAAGAGTTTTATACCTAGGGAAGATTTATTCACTAACATAAGACAAAAAAAAAAAAAAAAAATCTGGCTGGGCACTGTGGCTCATGTCTGTAATCCCAGCACTTTGGGAGGCCAAGGCAGGCAGATCACCTGAGGCTGGGAGTTTGAGACCAGCCTGGCCAATGTGAAACTCCGTCTCCACTAAAATACAAAAATTGGCTGGGCACGGTGGCAGGTGCCTGTAGTCCCAGCTACTCAGGAGGCTGAGGCAGGAGAATTGCTTGAACCAGGGAGGCGGAGGTTGCAGTGAGCCAAGATTGTACCACTGTACTCTAGCCTGGATGATAGAGCGAGGCTCCGTCTCAAAAAAGAAAAAAAAAAAAAAAAAGGACTATCTGATTACCTAGACTCAAATTTATTTTCATTTGTAGGTTTTTTTTTTTTTTTTTTTTTTTTTAGATGGAGTCTCACTCTGTCACCCAGGCTGGAGTGCAGTGGTGCAATCTTGGCTCGCTGCAACCTCTGCCTTCCAGGTTCAAGCAATTCTCCTGCCTCAGCCTCCTGAGTAGCTAGGATTACAGGTGTGTGTCACCACATCCGGCTAATTTTTGTATATTTAATAGAGACATGGCTAAATTTTGTATATTTAATAGGGTTTCACCATGTTGGTCAGGCTGGTCTCGAATTCCTGACCTCGTGATCAGCCCACCTCGGCCTCCTAAAGTGCTAGGATTACAGGCATGAGCCACCGTGTCTGGCCCATTTGTAGGTTTTTTTTTTTAAACTACTATAATACAGACCCCAGTGAAATGTTAACTTTGGTATATTGTGAACTGAACTTCCACATCTCCATTACAAGAAAAAGACAAATACCTGAAACATATTTGGTAGGAGTCTTGGGGGTGAAGTTAAGAAAATGAAAGACATATTTGAACCAAATTGCCATTTTTATAGGCCTTTTTGTTGCCTTTTGGCAATTTCATGTGGTTCACCCTAAGATGACCACTTAGGGCTCAGTATTTCTGGTTAAAGAGAAATTTTATCCTAGCCCTCTTTTTTACATTTCCTCTTCATGTAATCCATATGTCTATACATTATTGAAATCCAACAGCACTAAATCTTGGCCTTATAACAGCTCAAGTTTCATTTCTTGGTCTGGTTTTCCTACATTTCTAAGTATTCCTTTATTTTTTACTTTTTAAAGCCAAAGCCAATTTTAATTAGAATATAGATTCAGTCTTGATTCTGTGTTCAGGCTATGCAGTGTTTCTAGAAACTAGTTTATCTACAGTATGAAGGTTAACTAGAATCTCATCACTCACTCAGCCTTTCTCCCTAACCACATTTAAGATAGCTATGATGAACTCTTAAGGAGGCTTTTTTTTTTTGAAACTGAGTCTCACTCTGTCACCCAGGCTGGAGTGCAGTGGCGTGATCTTGGCTCACTACAACCTCCACCTCCCAGGTTCAAGCGTTTCTTCTGCCTCAGCCTCCCAAATAGCTGGGATTACAGGTGTGCACCACCATGCCTGGCTAATTTTTGTGTTTTTAGTAGAGACACGGTTTCACCGGGTTGGCCAAACTGGTCTCAAACTCCTGACCTCGGGTGATCTGCCCACCTTGGCCTCTCAAGGTGCTGAGATTACAGGTATGAGCCACCACAGCAGCCTCAAGCAGGCTTATTAAGTATAGTACTACTTGGAAAATCACCTGACAGTTTGCAGAGAAATCTCCCAATAAGTGCTAGCTTCTATGCAGAATCTGTAGATTGCACCCAGTACCTCTCCACAGATTAAGGATTGTTTTACCTTAAAGTCTAACTTCTGCCTACGTACCTATCTGTAGACCTGGCTGGGCCTGATGATGTGCCAGGAAGCAATATCTAGGAGCTCTTCAGTGAAGCCTGTTCCACGAGTATACAGGAGCATTCTGTTTGGTTTCTAAGGGAATTTCCATTGACTATTTGGCCAGTAAGAGAACATGCACTTAAGTATGAAATAAATTTTAAGAATATTAGTTTGTGGTTTTGGATATCTAGGGTGCAGGAAGAACAACTGACTGTGAAAGTGAAATGGTATAGAAATTAGGAGTCCTGAGTTCAATGAAAAAAGGTTAACAGTCTTTAAAAAAGGGACAGGTTTAGTGATTATTATAACTTCTGTAAGGGAGTAAAGCAATTGCAATGTGATTAGGAAATTCAGTAATGGTCCCAGAACCTAAGGTCTTCAATGAGCTATCAGTAGTATCTACTTCAAAAGACCTCAAAGGATTCCCAAATTAGACTGCTAGCTTAAAAAAAAAAAAAATCTGTTGCTTCATCTTCTTAACTTCAGTTCTATAATTCTTTAAATGCTTACCTGCTACCTGCAAGCTTGTGGCTCCCGTCTCCTCAGTGTGAGAACTGTCTCTGACAAAGCCTTCAAGTGTTTTATGCACCTCGTCTTCCAACCTCTGCTTCACTCTTAGATGAATATCTTTAGGACCCTCCCTCGACAAAATCATCCCGGTCTCACCATGACCCAATGTGGCAATGCTTGATGTTGGTCACTGTGACCCACTGCCAAAGCATTAGCACCAGGTTCCGGGACATGCAGTCTTCCTCAGGCTCACAGGTCTCTTGCAATTCCCTTTCATCACCTCCTTGAGCCCATCTGTGTTCCCCAAAACAGCTGTTCCTAATTTACTGTCCTTATTCATCCTCCTCACCTGCTCACAACCCTAGTCATGTATCCTCAATGTAGGCTGAGGACTAAGTGGCATCTGCACCTTCCAAAACCTATTTGCTCTGGCATTTGATGCCTTCTTTAAAGTAACCCTTTTCATCTGGTGGAGAGGATTCCATCTCTAACTCTAAAACCAACCTTCTTTATCCACCCTTTCCACTACTTTATTCCCTTCTACTTTAAAATTGCATTCATATTCCCAATTTGGGGATATAGTCAATTTTGTTCAGTTCCTTAAATGCCCCAGTGTTTCTCACCATGTGGTCCCCAATCCACCTGTCTCTCATCAGCTAAAAGTGCCTGTGAAAAACAAAGCTTCTCTAAATGCAATGTGGTGTTCTGCACTGGATCCTGGAACTGATAGAGAATGTTAGTAGAAAATCTGATGAAGTCTTCGGTTAATAGCAATGTGCCAACATTAACTGCTTAGTTTTAACAAATGTTAATATTGGGGGAAATGCGTAAGGGGCATACAGAAACTCATTTTGGCAACTTTTGGTAAATCTAAAATTATTCCAAAATTAAAAGCTTATTTTTTTAAAATAATAGCTTATTGGGTCCCAGAGCTACTGAATCTCAATTCCTGGGGCTGAGGCCTGGAAATTGACATTTTTAACATGAACCCCAAATGATTCTTATCAAATAATTTGAAAATCTAACCTCCCTCTCAATCTCCTTCCATTCCATGTCTGAACACTGCTTCCTCATTGTCTTACTTACCTTAACTTTGCCTTAACCTGAGTCAATCCTTTAAATATTTTTAACCCTAAAATATAAATTCCCCTTCACAAATGAGAAAACTGAAATACCCAGAGGTTGTGTCCAGGATCACACGGCCCAAAAGTGGTGGAACCGGGGTTTGAGTTCCTAATAAGACTGGCTTCCAAATCTATGCTCATAACCGCTCTGTCTCTCAACTTTGTTACCATCTGTGGACAAACTAAGGAGCTCCGTAACTAAATCACTAAAAGAAGCATCGTTGCCAATATTATCCTGAGCCCATGTATTTCTACAGCCTTCTTTTTTTTTTTTTTTTTTTTTTTTTTGATATGGAGTTTCACTCGTTTCCCAGGCTGGAGGGCAATGGTGCGATCTCCACCTCCCGGGTTCAAGCAATTCTCCTGCCTCAGCCTCCTGAGTAACTGGGATTACAGGCATGTGCCACCATGCCTGGCTAATTTTGTATTTTTAGTAGAGATGGAGTTTCTCCATGATGATCAGGTTGTTCTTAAACTCCTGACCCCAGGTGATCTGCCTGCCCCAGAGTCCCAAAGTGCTGGGATTACAGCCATAAACCACTGTGCCCAGTCTGTCTCTGCCAACAAAGCCCAACAGTCCCTCTGTTCCAGCTTGTGACTTTGCCTTCTCCCCACTTTCCCAATGAGGGAAAATGAGTGACGAGAAAGCCTGGGGAAGATGTGCTAACTACAGTGTCCTGTACATGTAAGGTACAGTTGCTCTCCTCTTAGGATTCAACTCAACTATATTTTCTAGTCTGCCTCTCTGAGCCACCTCATGCACCGGTCTAACAAAGTTCCTAGTGCTCAGCTTGACACTGAATTACATACTCTTATTGTTAACTAACCTCTTATGGGATTTATGTTGTCTCCTACAAATATTTTAAGCTAGTAACCCATGTTCTCCCACATACTTATGTCTCAGAGCATTGGTGAACCCTGCCTACCAGGCATTAAAATGAGGTGGTGTTCGGTACATTGGTAGCTAATCTGCATTTTGCCAAAGTAGCACCAGCAGAAGGTGGTCTGACAATAGTATCTGAGGCTAAGAATCTGTCCAGATGATTAGGGAAGAAGCCAGTTCAGTCAGCTTCTCCTGTCTCTTCTGGGCTCCCTGACTTGTATTTAGAATACAATACAAATTGCAGATCCAACTGCTGGATGATAAAGTTTTGTGAGTTCCTGCTCTCCAACCAGATACACAAAACAGCACCATCTCTAATCAAATTGGTTTGGTATAAACAGAGAGTTTATAAAATAGAACGCAATCTCAGGCAAAGTCTGTTCTTCCACACATCTCCCTTCAGCAAGTGAATCATGAGACAATCACAGGATTGGCGGGAGTGAGACCTAGGAAATATATTCAAGTGAAACATGTTTCTTTTTTTTTTTTTTTGAGCCGGAGTTTCACTCTTGTTACCCAGGTTGGAGTGCAATGATGTAATCTCAGCTCACTGCGACCTCCACCTCCTGGGTTCAAGCAATTCTCCTGCCTCAGCCTCCCAAGTAGCTGGGACTACAGGCACCTGCCACCATGCCCAGCTAATTTTTGTATTTTTAGTAGAGACATGGTTTCACCATGTTGACCAGGATAGTCTCGATCTCTTGACCTCGTGATCCACCCACCTTGGCCTCCCAAAGTGCTGGGATTATAGGTGTGAGCCACTGCGCCCGGCCCATGAAACATGTTTCTTAGCTAGTTCTGTCTCTGGTGATGGGAATTTGCTTGATTTTACTAATAAAATTTTCGCTGCTTACCTTTTAAGTACATCTGAAAACCCTGATTATGAAGTTAGAATCCATGTATCTCCTCAAATACTCTTAGAAAGCCATGTCTTTTCATAAAAACATGAGGAGAAAAAGACGTCTACAGCACCTTTGTATTGTCTTTACCATTACTTTAATGCATTTTAAAATTTATCTACATTAATTGGGAACAAAGAAAAATAGACATTTCTTTGTTTTTCATAAATAACTAATCTTCGTATTTGATAAAAATCTCAAACCATTATTTTACCTTCCCACAAATATAATACATACAAAATTTTTCTGAAGTAAGGTCAACAAATGAAGTATCTTGAGACTAACATAACCACATATAACTGCTGTTTCTACTGACTCCCAGGAACAAAGCAGAAACAAAAACTCATCCAGCGGCTCTGGGTTTCCTTTTGTAAGTGTTACAGATTCAGAATTGTAATCATGTATCATCTGCCAGTCATAATTTATGGATTCAAATTGATTGTCTACAAATAAAATATCGCTGGCTCTGATGTGTAACATTTGGATTTAACATGACAGTGACTACTGCATGGGATAGGCACTATACATACATGGAAATCAGAAAAAGTATTAAATGCCCTGGACTCGAACTACTGACTCGGTATGTGCCTCATTTGGCTCAGTAATAAATTCACCTGCACCAAACCCGTATCAAAAGTCACCAAATCTTTCCTATATATAATATATATTATGTATATACACACCCACAAAACATACATACTATACACACAGTTTGTAACAACATGAAATCATATGGTCTTAAAATGATGTACCCACAGACAGACACTATCCTGAAATAAATCCTGCAATTATCATCAGGTTGCAAGAAGCCTTTGAAAGTCTTGACTCGGGTTAGCTACTTCTATTCTGCCTACCCTTCACCCTTCTTTAATGTCTTGGCAGTTCTTTCAGAATGACCCTCCCCAACCTAGACAGCTTTCTTTGCCGGGATCACCTGATTGGACTTTGGAAACAAGAGCAGGCAGAGGGAGCGGGCAATTCTTAGCCACTGTCCCTCACACCTGCCTGCATGTGTGATGTGCTCTGTCCTGTTGGCCGCATTTGGTGTTAGAAAGCAGTTACTCAAAGCTTTGTCCCTCCTACCCCCCTTGGGCTTTCTGTAGAGCACAAAAGTGAAAGAAGCTTCTTTGGCAGGGGTAGCAGTTCATTAAAATATAAAACTACATTTCCTAGCTCTGGGGTTCCCATTCTGTACTGGAGAGTGCAGGTCACGGATGCTGTTATTAAGGTTCGGTGTGTGATCCATAACGTTTTCTCCTGGCAGCCAGCGTCAGGATTAGTACAGCCCAGGGGGAAACAGCCTAATGAATACCAACTTTGAAACAGTGCTGTTGGCACATTATTTAAGCTTGGACATGTGCACAATTACACACAACACACATGGGCCTTGGTCACTGGCAATAGTCATGAGAAAATATGACAAAGGTTTGCAAGGATAAACCAATAAGGCACCAAGAAAATTGTTTCCAGCCAATTTGACCATTTCAAAATGTGAGAAGGGAAATCATAGAAATTAAAGATTTCCTCAAATCTGGCCAGCTGATTCACTGAGAGGTCCCATTAGTCCCTTCAGACAACTACGTGAATCGAATCCTCACCCCCTAAACTATTAAGTGAGGCATTGCTTAAAATCAAACTGAGCTGGGCACAGTGGCTCACGCTTGTAACCCCAGCACTTTGGGAGGCCAAGGCAGGCAGATCATGAGGTCAGGAGTTTGAGACCAGCCTGACCAACATGGTGAAACCCTGTCTCTAATAAAAATACAAAAAATTAGCCGATGTAGTGGTGCATACCTATACTCCCAGCTACTTGGGAGGCTGAGGCAAGAGAATCACTTGAACCCGGGAGGCGGAGGTTGCGGTGAGCTGAGATTGTGCCATTGCACTTCAGCCTGGACAACAAGAGCAAAACTGCATCTCAAAAAAAAAAAAAAAAACCTTAAAGGGACAGCCCTGAAGCTGTACATGAGACTCAACTGGGCCCTAAGTCTGCCCCAGCTTCTCAAAGCTGGCTGTGACCAAGTTGCTGAACTACTCCATAACCTTTTTACAGTTGTTTTCATGAGCATGTCTTGTTTCCATAATCATATGCAAATTGGGGGAAATAAGTATATGGATGGAAACAGGGGGTGGCCATAAGTAGATCCAGTTTCTCTCCCCTGGGGTGGCTGATATCAGTAAGACTTAGGGAAGCAGGTGGGCTTTTATCTTTGCCTCTCTTAGGGGATAAAGGAAGAGAGAGACAGCAGAGGTGAGAACAGAGACAAAGAAGTGCCTCTGAAAGTTGGTCTGGAATTAGACCCCCAAGATCATGACTTAAGTTGCCTCCCCTTAGGCTTAGCATCCTTTATTTTAATTGGCTTATTTTTTAAAGTAAATTAGTTGTTCAGCATGTTGCTAAAACAAACAAAAAATTCAAAACTGAATTAAATCACTTTCACCCACTTCGTCCCACAGCTTTTGAATACACTGCACATCATTTCTAGATTTCTCTACAAAGAAAAGGAGGGGGAACCCAAATTAGGCACAATGACTGAAGGCAGCAGAGCAGTCTGTGTGCTTTCTGGGAAGACATAGGAAACGAGGGAAAAGGTCAAGGTGATCAGAAAAGATTCTCTCATTTGAAAAACAGGAGAGGAATTGGCATTCAGTCAAGGGATCTATTTCAAGATTCTAGGAAGAGGCTTCTTCCTAGAAGAATAAATAGAGGAATAAAATAGGCACAAAAAGTTCTGTAGCTATTTGTAGGAGATTTTGTAGAATCCATTGAAATTTTAATTTTGATTTGGAGGATAAGTTGGGTAAGAGCAGTGCATTTTAATAAATGTTTTTGAGAGTCCTTAAAACTTAATACTAGGTTTCTTCCCACCAGTAAAGTGTTTCAATACCCTCTGGGAACTACGCATTTGTCAAATTAACGTCCATGAAGTAAAAACTGACCTAGGCTTAAATTTTACTTTTCCAACTTTGGTAGAAGTGAATTACACATGCCTAGACTCCAGTTGTTTTCCTAGACAGGCTTTCTCAAATGTTAATTGCTCTGGCTATTTTAGCTTCCTAAATTTAGTCCCCAGTCCTGGTCACTGGAATTTTGTTGGCTGAGGCACTGTCACCCCCTTCCCCATTAATGGCCCCACACTCTTCATGAATAAATGCTTAAACAGATTAGAAAAGCAAACAGAATTTTCTAACAGCAAAGAAACCTGTGTGTGTGTGTTCATCAATATATAGGCTTTCATAATGAATGAAGGCATGGTTAAACAGATTAGTAAAGCAAACCAATTGCCAAGAAGTGTGTGTGTGTTCATCAGCATACAGGCTTTCTCAGAAAACTATAGAGGTAGCAAAACACTGATCTATATTTTAAAAGGTTGTGCAAGCATGTTATGGGTCTCATTTGTTTTCAGAGAGGGCAGAGAGCAACATCTTGCTGCTTTTGGACTATTTGGCTATAAACTAGTCCAAAGTCCAGCGACACTTATTTTCCCTTATTTGGGCCAATGTTTGTTCACAGGTAGCCAGTCTCCCTCTCCCAGTTCAAGCATTTCACTCAAGGGTGGGTGTGGTTTCTAATCACAGCTCTCCAGGAGAGGAGGAATAAGAAAAAGGCAGAAAAGACTGTTTAACATGATAAAGGGGGCGTTGAGAGGGTACGGCAAGTGTTAGAAATTTAATTATTGGAAGTACATCCATTTTAGTCCTTGTATTTAAAAAGGAGCCCCCTTTAGCAACTACCATTAAGTACTGTCCAGAGGGAGTGGGTTTATATTTTTACCAAAATTATAACACAAGTTCCTTAAAAAAAAAGGTGGGGGGAATCACTGAAGCCTAAAACCACCCACTCCCTCTCAGGCACAAAGCTGCCAACTCTCCAGCCTAGAATTCAAGCTCCACCAATAACCATCGCTTTGGGTCTCACGACTGCAAATATTTATGCCAGATTCTCTATAATGCTACCTCTAACTTATTGGAGACATAACGATGGTGAGGTTAGGAGTGAGAATTATTACAAGCACTACAGAAAAGAAACTGAACCTCCCTCTATAAACAAAGCTAAAAATGAACACAAAATCGCTAAGTACTTCCTAACCTTCTCACTTTGGGGAGGGCCTAAGCACATGCGCACCCCTAGGTATGACCTGGGGCTATAAACTGCAGCTCACCTGAAAGAATCATGGACACTTCAAGCAGTGGCAGGAGAAGCTAGCTGAAAAAGCACACGCAACAACTTCCCAGTCACAGCAACCGACGTTCACTGTTCACATTTTTTTTTTTTAAAAAGACACACGTATAGGAAATATATTTTCCCAATTGAGAACACACAGTTCAAAGAAACCTGAACTAAGTGGAACTTCATGACAAGGCCAATCTCAGGATTGTAAAGCCCCCAAAGCAAAGGTAAATTTTGTTGCCAAAATGCAACAAAGTTACAAAGAAAAATACATATAAATTAAAAAGAAGGTTCCCATAAAGAAGGCAGTAAGAAATGCAAATAGAATACTCGTGAGCTGGGCCTCTTGGAGAAGACTTGGGACAAGTTCTTCCCGGAAAAGAACTTCCCTCTCTCCAAGTCGCCGCGGGAGGGGGCAACAGCACCATGAAGGTAAACGGAAGTGACCTTGGCAAAGCTACCAAACAAAACGCCCCCCTCCCCTCAGCTCTCCGGCCGGGTCCCTCCTACACGTGCGACAGGGACACCTGTTTGTGGTAGGCGGCGGCGGGGCCCGGCGGCCCGGTCCTGCCCGTGAGTGCCGCGCTGGCCTCGGGGTAGTCCCCGGCGGCCATGGCGCCCCCGCTCTTGTGGCCGCGCCGCGGGCGGCAGCAGCAGCGGCTGGTGAAACGCCGCCACGACTCCACCGTCTTGCCCGACCAGATCCAGACACCCGACGTGATGCCCACCACCAGGCACATGAAGTACTTGAGCATGAGCACCCAGTACTCGGGCTTGGCGCGCGGCTGGCCGGCGTCGGGGGCCGGGCAGGCACAGGTGAGCGCCGCCTCCCAGCTCTCGCGATAGTGCTGCTCGTACAGGTAGCAGGCCACCACGATGCTGGCGGGCACCGTGTAGAGCAGCGTGAAGATGCCGATGCGGATCATGAGCTTCTCCAGCTTGTCCGTCTTGGTGCCGCCCTGCTTGATGACGCTACGGATGCGGAAGAGCGACACAAAGCCCGCCAGCAGGAAGAGCGTGCCCACCAACAGGTAGAGCACCAGCGGGCCCAGCACGAAGCCGCGCAGCGAGTTCAGGTTCTGGTTGCCCACGTAGCAGATGCCAGCCACCGGGTCCCCGTCCACGGAGCTCAGCGCCAGCGCCGTGATGGATTTGACGCTGGGGATGAGCCACGCAGCCAGGTGGAAGTACTGCGCGTAGCCCGCGATGGCCTCATTGCCCCACTTCATGCCGGCTGCCAGGAACCAGGTGAGCGACAGGATGACCCACCAGATGGAGCTGGCCATGCCGAAGAAGTAGACCAGGAGGAAGACAATGGTGCACAGCGCAGGGCCCGTGGTCTCGTAGTGGATGTGGTTGTGCTCACGGCTGCAGGCCACGCTGGCATGGCCCACGACCAGGCGAACTAGGAAGCCCAGCGACACGCATAGGTAACAGGCGGACAGGAAGATGATGGGGCGCTCAGGATAGCGGAAGCGTTCCATGTCGATGAGGAACGTGGCCACTGTGGTGGACGTGGAGATGAAGCACAGCACCGACCACAGGCCGATCCAGAAGGTGGCGAACGTGCGCTCATCGGAACTGAAGGACGGCTGGTAGCAGGGTACCGCGCAGTTGGGCACCTGCCCCGTCCGCACCTTGTTGTAGAGCGGGTGTGACTCCTTCAGGATCGGCACGAAGGGATCGCGACACTTGCACACAGACGGGCCCCCAGCGGGGCATTCGCCCCCTGAGGCCGGCGCCCCTGGTGGGCCTGGAAGTGTGGGCTTGGCTGGGAAGGCCCTGGGGGGAGCCGTGGTGGCCTCGCTGCGGTTGTAATCCATGCACAGGACCTCGGCGTCGCGGCCCAGCACCGGGAGGCGGTCGCAGCTCATGCGCTCGGGCCAAGCGAAGCCGTACTGGCGCATGAGCGGCGAGCAGCCGGCCTTGGCGCGCTCGCACACCGAGCGGCAGGGCGGTAGCGGCTTGTGATAGTCGGGCAGGCAGATGGGCGTGTACATGGAGCACAGGAAGAAGCGCAGGTCCGGCGAACAGTGGATCTCCACCAGCGGCCAGAACTGGTGCACCTCCAGGCCCGCCTCGTCCTGCGTGTCGTGGTTGAACTGGTTGGGCATGTGCGTCAGGTTGTAGCCGATGCCGCGGCACATGGGCACCGTGATTTCTTGGCACACCGGGGCCTTGGATGCGGCGGTCGCCCGGCCCGCCAGCTGCGCCAGGAGCAGCAGCAGCAGAGACGGCGGCGCGGACGGGTCAGGCCGAGCCATCGCCCCCTCCCTCCCCTCCCCTCCAGCAGCCCGCGAGGGACCCACGCAGGCGGAATCCGGGCCGGGGCTTCTCCCTTTGGCGTCTCGTGTGTGGCGCCGGGGCTGGCAACCTGTTGGTTGCTTTTTCCTTTAAAGAAATTCGTCCAAAGATCAACTGCTTCAGGAAGGCGCTGCCTCGGCTGGCAGCGCTCCGCTCCTCGCCGAGTAGGGCTGGGGAGACGGTTAGGGCTTGGATTCCAGGGAAAGGACTCTTTAAAAAAGAAGGGTGAGAAGATTGCAACCAACCACTCCCGGTTAGAGGAGCGTCAATGGCTCGGTCCCCGCGAGCGGTCTCTAAATCTCTAAGTTAACCCCTCTCTTTTCCTCCCCCCTCCGCCTCCTGGAACCAAACTACTGACTCCCCCACCCTCTCTTTCCAAGCTGGGCCCTCCAGGCAGTGCCCGGAGACCAAAAGGCTCAGCCTCCCGGAAAATGGCACAGGAACCGGGAGGGAGAAGAACAGGGAGAAAGGGAAGGCTCTCACCTCCACGGATCCCGCCGAGAGGAGCAGACAGTCCGCAGCCAGCCTGGGTCCTCCGTCCCTGGGACACTCCGCCGAGAAGTGCGACTCAGAGCTGGGCCGGCGCGGGGAAAGTTTAGCGACAGGCTGGGTACCCGTGGCAGCGGCACATGGCAGCAGGTGGGGGCGACTCAGAGATGGGGGCGCCACCAGAACAGGGGCGGCGCAGGCCGGTCAATAACCCTCTCCTCCTCGGGGGCCCCCCGCATGATCCAGACGGGGTCGGGCAGGGGCAGGCCGTGCGTTCTCCCCGGGGCCGGGAGTCGGACGGAAAGCGAGCGCGTCTGGCAGGACCTGGGCGGGAGGAAGGCGGGATGCGGGCGCCAGGGGATCCCACCGACTCACAGCACCACTAGCAGCCGGCGCTGGCTGGGCCGGGACTGCATGGTGCGCGCTAGCCGCTGCGTCCCGCCCGCCGCTCGCCTCTTCCCCTGCAGGGGGCTCCGCGCTCCAGTGGACTCCTGGGGGCGGTGGCGGCGCTCTCGGGACGCGCCTGGCTCGGCTCCTCCCCCACGCTCTCGCACCGTTTTGCCCACCTCTGGCGAGCACGGAACCTAGCGTGGCGGCGACAGTAGAGTCACGGCCGCGGGCCGGCTGCCCTCTCCCGCCCCGCCCGGGTCACCTGCTTCTAATGCCTGCCGGGAGGCCCCGCCCCTGCCCCGCCCCCTCAGGCCCGGGCGCGGTTGGTGGGCCGCCTCGCCACGCTCTCCGCGCGTCCCCGCCCACTGCCCCGCGGGCTCGGCCTTTCCCCCGTCGCCCTCCGGCCCCGCCCGGAGCCGGCCGCCTAGGCGCGCTGACCAATCGCGGGCCGAGAGGCAATGGCGGCGGGGCGAATGCTAATTATGCCGAACCCGGTCGGGAAGCCTTGGCCTGAAGTCCCTCCGGAGTTCTCTGCCCGCGCCCTGGGTGCGGGACTCGCTCCTGTAACGTTCTGCCTTCTGCACCTTTGCTCCCCGGGCCCCGGCCCTTTCTGGCTGCAGGGAAGCGTCCTTATAGAGTTCAGTGCTTCTTTGAAAGAACCGCTCAAAGAACCATTCTTAGCCGTGGCTCCTGTCTTCCTTCTGCGCTGACTTGGAGCTATGTGAAAGAAGAGAATACTTACTGAGCCTTTTACTGTGTGCCCACCAAGTGTTCATCGTTTACCTCTTAAGACGAGAGATCTCAGTACAATTCTGAGGCACGTACTCCTTACAGGTGAAGAAACGCAGACTTCGACTTGGCCAAGGCAAACGAGCTAGTCGTAGTTCCCCAAGAAAGGGCGACCTTGGCGACTTCACCGCCGCTTTCCGAGCGCCTGGCACATAGTAGGCGCCTAAATGGCAACCCTGGGATTCGAACCCAGGTAGAGGCGGCGGCATTCACTGTCGTAGCCATCCCTCCCCCTATACGATCGCAGTCTCCCTGACTTCGACCTTTACTTTTGCATCTCGGAACAAAATCTTGATGTGACAAGAAAGTGGATTTCTTTCTGCCTTTAGAAAACTCAGATGTGAGTCCTTTATTAGTCGAGGTTTATAATCCCAGGCAGTTCCGAAGTCTCCAGCAGAGAGAAGCGACACCGACTAAGGGCTCTGTGCTGGGCAGAGCGCCGGCCTCCCCGTCCCCTCCGGTTCCCGGGCTGCCCGCTGCTTAGCCGCGCACTCGCGCATCGCGGGGGGCGGAGGGCGCAAGGATGGCGGGGACGCGGCGACGCTCTTCAGTTGAGCTATTATGCTGCAAGTTTTAAATTTCCTAAAAATGCCTCTTTTCTATGTGTTCTAATTAGATTGGAAGACTGCGGTATTAGCATACTTGAAATTCATTCACACGCTTAGGAAGAGGGTTTAAATTGTTTCCTTCTCCCCAAACTCTTCCTTCCACTAGGCAAAGGGTGAAACTAGGCAAGGGGCCTGGGGACACTTGAAGGAATAGGGACTGGACTGACTGGACCAGATCCAGATCAACCGCGGTTTATTATCGATCCTCTGTCCTGGATCCCATAGGCACAGGTTGGAAGAAAGTGCCACTCCCCTCCTGCCTATCAACAAGGCTTTGTGGGCAATAATGAAGAAAAATGTATGAATCCCAGCCTCCATGTTAAAAAGCAACAAATATCAATCACTTCGCAGATATCAAAACTATTTTTTAAATTTAAATTTTATTTTTTTTAAAGATGGGGTTTCACCATGATGGCCAGGCTGGTCTTGAATTCCTGACCTCAGGTGATTCACCCACCTTGGCCTCCCAAAGTTCTAGCATTACAGGCGATATCAAAACTGTTAATAATAAATGTTTAAAAGGCCAGGCTCCATGGCTCACGCCTGTAATCCTAACACTTTGGGAGGCTAAGGTGGGAGGATGGCTTGAACCCAGGAGATTGTAGACCAGCCTGAGCAACATAGCAAGATCTCCCCACTCTAAAATACATAAACAAATAAATGAATAAATATACATGACATCTTTTATTCTCTGGAATTCTACAGGTGTTCATGTTTTATCTCTTGTGTTTTGGAACTACTTGGCGATCTGGGTCAGAGAGCATCCCAGGATTGAAAATAGTGGGAGTTGAAAAGCTGTGGGCATAGCAGTGAAGAAGAAAGGGCAGCCCTCAGTGGAAAGTATGTGCAGACTGTGAACATGCCAAGGGAGGCCCGTCTCATTCTGTGCTCTTTATGTAACGTGTATATTACTGGGGATGGACAAGTGTTGGCTAATAATAAAAATTATTTGAAGTTGGAGAATGTTAATCATTCACACTGGAATTTAGCCAGACTATTTGTGTTATTTCACGTGGTTCTGTCAGAGGCATTTAAACCAGAGCAACTCCATCTTGGATAGGGACTAGGTAAAATAAGGCTGAGACTTACCGGGCTGCATTCCCCAGAGGTAAAGGCATTCTAAATCACAGAATGAGATAGGAGGTCAGCACAACATACAGGTCATAGAGACCTTGCTGATAAAACAGGGTGCAGCCCAGAAGCCAGTTAAAACCCAAAACCAAGATGGCGGGGAGAGTGACCTCTGGTGGTCCTCACTGCTCCTTACACCTTAATTATAATAGATTAGCATGTTAAAAGACACTCCCACCAATGCCAGGGCATTGTTTACAGATGCCATGGCTACTGTCTGTAAGTTATCCTGTATGGTCTAAGATGGGGAGGAAGCTTCAGTTCCAGGAATTGCCTGCCCCTTTCCCTGAAACTCATGAATAAGCCACCCCTTGTTTAGCATATAATCAAGAAATAACCATAAAAATGGGCAACCAGCAGCCCATGCTGCTGCTCTGCCTGTGGAGTAGCCATCCTTTACTTTTCTTTTTCTATTCTTTCTTTTTTTCTTTTTTCGAGTCAGTCTTGCTCTGACTCGCAGTCTGGAGGGCAGTGGCGCGACCTCGGCTCACTGCAACCTCCACCTCCCGAGTTCAAGCGATTCTCCTGCCTCAGCCTCCCAGGAAGCTGGGAAGACAGGCCTATGCCACAACACCCGGCTAATTTTTGCATTTTTAGTAGAGTTGGGGTTTCGCGATGTTGACCAGGCTGATCTGGAGCTCCTGGGCTCAGGTGATCCACCCACCTCGGCCTCACAAAGTGCTGAGATTACACGCCTGAGCCACCGCGCCCGGCCCTTTCTTAACAAACTTGCTTTCATTTTACTCTATGTACTCGCCCCAAATTCTTTCTTGCATGAGATCCAAGAACCCTCTCTTGGGGTCTGGATCGGGACCCTTTTCCAGCAACGGTTTTGGAGCAAACAATATTATCCACTGGTTTGTAAACCTTTTCTTCATCAATAGCAAAATCTTAGTTTTGCTTGGAGATCTCTAATAATAATAGTTATAGAAGAAAACTTTATGGAAAGAAACTTATTTCAGCTGGGCAAGGTGGCTCATGCCAGTAATTTCAACACTTTGGGAAGGTGATGCAGGAAGATCGCTACGGCCCAGGAGTTCAAGACCAGGCTTGGCAATATAGTGAGACTTTGTTTAAAAAGAAAACAAAACAAAAAAGAGAGAGAGAGAGAGAGAGAGAGACATTTCATATTGTATACCTTTTTATATTGTATCGTGTTGCTTTTTTTTTTTGAGACGGAGTTTTGCTCTCCTTACCCAGGCTGGAGTGCAATGGCGCGATCTTGGCTCACCACAACCTCCGCCTCCTGGGTTCAGGCAATTCTCCTGCCTCAGCCTCCTGAGTAGCTGGGATTACAGGCACGTGCCACCATACCCAGCTAATTTTTTGTATTTTTAGTAGAGACGGGGTTTCACCATGTTGACCAGGATGGTCTCGATCTCTTGACCTTGTGATCCACCTGCCTCGGCCTCCCAAAGTGCTGGGATTACAGGCTTGAGCCGCCGCACCCGGCAAAAGAGTGTGTTGCTTTTTTTCTCTATTTTAAAGGCAGTTTAAAATATGCTGACTGTTTAACATGTATTAGGAAAGGTGCTAGACCTCATTTTATCCTCAGATGGAGAAACTGGCCCCATAATGACTTTAATGACTTGCTTGAAGCTATTTATTTAGTCTATAGAAAAAGTAGAAATAAAAATTTTCAGCCTGGCATGGTGGCTCACGCCTGAAATCCCAGCACTTTGGGAGACTGAGGTGGTAGGATCATGGGGTCAGGAGTTCAAGACCAGCCTGGCCAAAACAGTGAAACCCTGTCTCTACTAAAAAGGCAAAAATTAGCTGGGTAGTCGCCTCTAATCCCAGCTACTCAGGAGGCTGAGGTAGAGAATTGCCTGAACCTGGGAGGGGGAGGTTGTAGTGAGCCGAGATCTCACCACCAGCCTGGGTGACAGAACAAGACTCCCTCTCAAAAAAAAAAAAGTATACACCAAGGTGACTACAGTTCATTAATAACATATTGTAAAGGGGAAAATTGCTAAGAGAGTAGATCTTAAGTGTTCTCACTACAAAAAAATGTAAAGTATGTAGAGGTAATGCATATGTTAATAGCTTGATTTAACCATTCTAGAATGTATACATATGTCAAAACATCATGTGGTACATCATAAATATATACAATTGTTATTTGTCAATGAAAAAACAAAATACCTCACAATTTTCATCTGAGTCATACTTTATTACCCAACAAACTAGAAAACACTGATTTTTTTTTTTTTTT